TAGCTAGTACAGGAACGTTAGCAAGCAACAGCACTAGTTAGCAACTTGATAGCAATTTGGCTGCGTATCATTTTTGATGTTGTAGCCAATAGAGTGGAGCAAGGATGACGTTTATTTGTAGGCCACCATTGAAGTTAGCATCACTCTGGTTCCCTTGACGATAAGCCAGTCAGATTTTTTTCATTATATTTTGGACTATTGCAGAAAATAAGCTCTGTGGCTAACAATGGTTTATTATAGTTTTGTTAAGCAATCTCCACTAATTAACACCACATTTATGATTTTTGAAGCTTAAATGCTAAGGCTAACGTTAGGCTATAAACGAACTACACTATGGTTGCATGACTTCAACGTCACCACCACAACAAGGCGGTAGAGCCGTGTTTAGGGTGGTTACATTCAGGAACTTAATTTAGCTACTTGTTAGCAACCATCCTTTTTAAGACGTGTAAAGCTTCCGAATTCACGAGTGGGGTATTTCCTGACATATTTTTTTTGTCATAGAACATAACGTGAATGTCTCTTAGCTTGTGGTAACCACAGACCTTATTTCAGGCATCTAACCATAAAACCCATTGACGGAAACCAGGAGTGCTGAAATGCTAAGTCATTTCAGTGTTTTAGGACACATTCCTGCAGTACTTTATACCAGTGGTTCCCAACTGGTGGGTCATGGTCCAAAAATGGATAGAGGGTCCATTCTGAATGGACCACAAGTTTGTAAAAAACACACTTTATTTTTAAGTACGGTGAATTTCCAGGACAGAGCTTTTAATTTGAAGTGCCATTTCCTGCTGTAGAGTGAGTGACTACTTGACAGAGACAGCAAACTAGCTCTACAACATGGCAAAATGCAATTATGGTGCTGAAATTAAACTGTGGACCTTGAACTAATAACTAAGGAGAAATCTGGACCCCATGGAAATCTGTACCCCTCCCCAAACTATGTTATCAATGCTTTTTGATACCTTAGTTTGGGGATTAGAAGCATTGTTTGGTGCCATTGAATATTAGCCTGACAAAATATTCCAAAATGCTTAATCCATCGGTCTTAAATGAATAAATAGCTAACGTTATAAAAGTGTCATGATTTAAATATGGGAATAGCTTATCAAATTTGGCCTAGTCGATATTTTAATACTTGACACAACCCTCTGTAAAAAGGTGTTGAGATTTTATGGCCATAGCCAGCAACTTTACAAGCTAATGCTGATACTGGATACTGTGTGTTGTACTGTCTGATTTGTTGCACTCATGACTACTGTATCTCAAATTGCCCCTTAGAGACTTTAAAGTTTACCCCACCTCACCTCACCTCACCTCACCTCACCTCACCACACTCTAGTTCATTTAGCTTGGTAATGTAACTGAGAAACTGTAGTGTATTAATAGGACTAGTTGTCAGTAGGCTGTATCAGTTATCTTTTTCAAGAGCATGGGGAACAGCTTGGTTGTTGTAACTGTAACTTACTGAATTACCATTGTGTTTATGAGGAAATGAAAATGTGGAACATATATGCACTTTTTGTGGTAATGCTAAACCCAGCGATACATCACTTCTTCTTTGTGTAGAGTAACATTAACTAAGGTCCCTTTTACGCTTGTCATTTCAAGAGTCTTGTACTTGGAGAAAACCCAGATTAGATATAACCTTGATGCCATTTTCACATTGTGCTTTTTGCTTTGTCACACACACTTTCACTTTCTGTCTTCCATTTAGAAGTTCACAGACTTTCTCTTGTCCTGCTGTCAGCTCGTTGGCTCGTTGGTAGTTGTCATGCAGGTGGCAAACCTCCCGTCTGAGTCTTGAGTTCTTCCTTCAGGGCAGATTTCCCGGATCATGCACCAATGTGGAGACCCTGCCAAGTTACTGCTGAGCCAACTGCTCTGGGTTAAGGCCTGCTGAGAACTCTGGTTGATTGCACTAGATAAACAACATGCCTTTATTGTGGAAAGCAGGGAGTCTTTTGTCATTGTCTGTCCTTTCCTTTTTTTTTTTTTTTTTTATTACGGTGCAATTTAGGAGTGTGCTCGTGATTTGGAGATAACAAAAACAATATCCTTTACCCCTCTCTTCCTCTTTCCTTTTAGCAATTCTTTGTCATTTCATTCCATGGCCGCAAAATTGTGTTACACGTCAATACAAGTCTGAGCCGTGTGCTCCCTGAGAGCCTTTAATGTTTGTGATATAGGAATTTTGGCCTGCAACCATGAAACAACCAAGAAACCGTCAGCCAAAATAACCAGATTTGAATACAGTTGCTCAGAAGTTTATTTGCTTGTGGGTTAAAACTAAATGATTTACACAAGTTATATTTGGAGACAGTGTTATCCTCAGTCTAAGCATTAAACCAATTCTGCCTCCACCCTTAAAGGGGTGTGGGACTCTGATCTGGGCACATCATATACAGGAGAGGACTGGACTCTGATGTTAAAAAATGCCAAGAGATATCCAGAGATCTTAATTTAAGGTCTTGAACAGAGTCTACTGGACAAGATCAAAATTATACACAGTCATTATACGCGGTCAAACTAAAGTGAGATTCATATTCCTGTGGCAGAGCCTACACTGTAGCTATGCCGTTGTGAGCGTTTATACTTGTGCAGTGGTGTGTTTGTGTCACTCTGCAATTGCTCGTCCAGAACACTAGCAGCAGGGTTTCTGTGAAGTGCTGTAAAGTTTAGTTGATTCAAAACACACATTAAACACACATTAAACATGGCTTAATAGAGACAATTTCAAACACAAGTACACAAATCAGCTTCACTATAACTCGCAGCATTCACAGACAAACACTTGTCTTTATCTGGACACATTTTCCCCACAAATACAACATGCTAATGTTTTTAGCACAAGCCTATGGCATTTTACATTGTATAAATTAGCCTAGCAGCTAGCAAACCTTTCCTCTACTCATATAAAATCAGGGACAACAGCAACATTTAACAAAGGTAATGTTACATAATGTTTTGCTGCATTACAACTCACAAGGTTCACTGACAAAACAACTGTCTTATACTAAACACGTTTTCCAAAGAAATACAACATGCTAACGTTATTAGCACAAGCCTATGGCATTTTACATTGTATAAAATAGCGTGGCAGGTGGTGATCTTGTCCTCTACTCATATGAAGCCTGGGACAACAGCAACATTTAACAAAGGTAACAATACATAATTTGTCAGGTTTACAACTCAAAAGGTTCACAGACAAAACAACTGTCATGCTGAATACGTATGTTCAGCACACATTGTATAACCTAGCGACTAGTGGAGATTTCCTCTACTCATATGAAGCCAGGATAAATCACACACAAGACTTAAAATGCTTTTTTGTGAGGCCTAATCATCAGAATCACAAAGTTCCCTTTACTCCTTGTCTATTTGTCTCAGGGGATCCTTCACTTCTTAGATATCTTAGTTCCGCAGATGCAGAATGGATTCAAACTGCGGTCATGCTGGAGCGCAAACTAATTATGTGTGAATGGAAGGCCTCCGATGCTCCCTCGGTCAGTTCCTGGTTTTGTCAACTTTGTCATCTGGCTGCACTGGAAAAGCTGACATCCAGACCTATAAATAAAGTAGACCTCTACATGTTGAAATGGAACACTTGGGAAACCCACATTAAGGTCTCATATGGAAGTTGTAAACTCTTGTCCTCCATCTTTTGCATCTCCAACTGTTACGTGCAACCTCACACTAATATCTTTAAACCTTCTATTTCAACATCTCTGATACATGTTTACACACTTAAGACAAAGTTTACCTTTGTTCACAGTTTGTGGTGGCAGTGCAGGTTGTGCAAGCTGCTTCGTTACAGATTACGAAAAGAACATCATGGACCTTGGTGATAATTAGATGATGTTATTTACTGTGTTAGCTGATTACAGTAGGCAGGAATTTGTCCTGGAGGCGTTTGCAAAATTGCAGTATGATTAGTCACTTCCTGTAGTACCTCATAATGTGTGACAGTCAAACATTTCCAGTTTATCCACTCTAACTTTATCGCACTGTGTGTGTGTAAAACCCAGGGAAAGTCAACGTTAAAAATTCTCCTATGAGAGTATGCAGACGGCACGTGATGCACACCTGATGCAGGCGCATGATTATCTCTACGGGAAAGTCACGGGGTTGTCAATGGAGGCCAATTTAATGAAAGCTGCGGCAGCGACTCATGCAGGGATGTTGCTAGAGTAGGTGATAAACACGGAGATATGGAGAGGGAGCCGTCGGTAACGTGATCAGAGTCTTAAGATTGCATCGGTGCGTTTGTCGGTATGTGTATGTGCCTGAGCCTGGGTATCCTCCATCCTCTTGTTCGAGAAATGAGGATCACCATGGCGACCCCCGATGTCCCATCTCAAATTGATTACCCCTGGTGCATTCTGTCCTCTCGGGGCATGTACTCATAAATAGAGAGAGAAAAAGAATGAGTGCATGATGAGCAGAGACACAGACAAGGATGAAGTCAAACATGAAATCGACCATATCAAATCAAATCAGGCATTCTGGACGTGTTTATAATTTGCATGCAGACACGGATGGCTGCACCTCCTACCTGTCACATCAGTTCATCACTGTTTTTCCCATAATCGCAGTACAGGACCGTGTTATTGCTGTCGACACAAGCATACTGATAACCAAACACATCTTCCTTGTTTGAATATTGAACTGATGCTATTTTTGGAAACATGAGGGAAAGAGGTTCCTTGACTTTCTCAAATCTGACACAGGTCTTGTCCTTTAAGTAAACCTGTCTGTGAGCCTCTCTGATCTTGACAGAATCAGTCAACACCTCTCTGCTCATCTAAGCAAAAGACAAAAGAAAAAAGCCATCTTGGTGACCAGATCCAAACTGATCTCCTTCTGTCAATGTGTGAACTCCGTGAAGAATACCTTTCACTTACGTTATTCATTGGGATGCACTAACATCTGTTCTTTCTTTTCCCCTCTCCTCCTGTCCCACCCCCCCCTTTTGTCCTCTTTCTGTCTCACAACAGAAAAGTGTGAAGGAGGGAATCCTGTTAAAGCAGACCAGTTCTTTCCAGAGGTGGAAGAGGAGGTACTTCAAACTCAGAGGGAGGACCCTCTACTATGCCAAAGACTGCAAGGTGAGCCCAAGGAAATGTTTTTGGGATTTGTAAGCATCGCAAAAGGCAATTCATTGAGTTGTGAAACCAAAATTACAAGTTGGAAACAGTCAAGAATGGTTGAGGTGTGATTGAGAGGTGTCAGGGAAAAGACAAGGTGTGATTATGCTAAGTGTAGCACCTTGATATGGTGTGAGAAAAGAAGGAAAAGCTGATGTTTGCATTGTTTGTCTTCCATCAGTCCCTGATTTTTGACGAAGTGGACCTATCTGATGCCAGTGTGGCCGAGACCAGCACCAAGAATATCAACAACAGCTTCACGGTAAGCAACAACTTATCTGAAAATGTGTATTAAGGCATTTAAAACTTAACATTTGGCTCAGTTTTCAATGGCAAATTATCACAAATGAAAAGTTTAAAGTTTAAGATTTAACTTTTTTTAACCTCACCAATTAACCTGCATGTCTTTGGACTGTGGGAGGAAGCCGGAGTACCCAGAGTAAACCCACGCTGACACAGGGAGAACATGCAAACTCTACACAGAAGGGCTCCCCCACCCTGGGGTTTGAAACCCAACCCGGGATTCAAACCAGAAACCCTCTTGCTGTGAGGCAACAATGCTAACCACTGCACCAACGTGCCGCCCAAAAACCCTATACTGTACCTGCAAAACTAATGGCATTCCAATGAGCCTCAGCTGTACATTGTGTTTTGAGCTAATTAGCAAATGTCAAGCGTGTTAGCATTGTTAGTGTGAGAATGTTAGCATGCTAATGTTAGCATTTAGCTTCACAGAGCTGCTAGCGTAGCTGTAGATCCCCATGAATGTGGTGTGATGAGAAATGCATAGATAGGGTACATAGATTTGGCTGCAGATGAGATATTCCTCAGGTTTTGAAGGTGATATTTCACGTCACTGCATCTTTTCTTTTGTGTCTCAGGTGATCACTCCATTTCGCAAACTAATGTTATGCGCCGAGAGCAGGAAGGAAATGGAGGACTGGATTGGCGCTCTCAGATCTGTCCAAAAATGGGAAACCTATGAGGTTAGCATTCTGACTGTCTCTCCGGCAGTCTCTTCATTGTCTCACATTGTTGTGTATTCTGCAGGCTGAATGTTATAAATGTGCCAAATTGATGATGCTCTGATAAAAGCCAGTGTGTAATCTATGCTGATGAGAACAGGCTTCACACCTCGCTTCTTAATTCTCCTCCCATCTGCTCTTTTCTCTAAATATCCACCTTTTCTGCTGTCTTGGAAGAAAATACTCTTCTCTCTTTTTTCTTATCTACTTTTCATTTTAGCTCTTTGCCCACAGATTAATGTCGCTCATAAAATCAGACCTTCTGCTTTAATAGGCTATAAAGAGACTGTAAGCTGCATGCCATCCCAGCTCAGCTGAAATTCTCTCTGGGTTTTTGGCTTTCAATGTTCCTCAAATTTAGGGTTTTAATTAACATCATTGTCATATACACCCCGTTATTCCAAGTTCATGTGATGCTCCTGCAGGTTTGTGAGGGTGCAGATCAAACTGAATGGCATCTTCTCCAAATTAATCCTAATTTCAGATTTGACATTTTGATATCTCGAGAGTCAGGAGCACTTTCTGAAAAGGAAGAAAGAAGATTGTGCGGTTTGACAGCACTGCCTGTACCTGCCGTCTTTTAAGACATTGGGTAACATTTATATTCTGCCTGTATGGGCATCTTTTACTCAGGCCAGTCAGCTGTAGTATCAATATCATCTCAATCGTTTTATGTCTCAATCCCGAGGCCACAAAGTTTAATATGCACTGCTGATGTCATTATCTTATCTGTGTTTCCTCTGGCTGTGAAGTTCAGCATGAAATTTAAAAAGTCGTCCTGCAATATCTCTCACCCCCCAGGCTATATATTCTGATGTTCCGCTCTGATGAGTTTTGTTTCTGTTCCCACCTCTGAAGCCCAGCCAGTTTAACATGTAGCGCTGATGTCACTGGCCTCTCCTCTCATATTCTTCCTCCCCCCCAGGCCAGCCAGTTCAACATGGAGCATTTCTCTGGGATGCACAACTGGTATGCCTGCTCGCACGCCAGACCGACCTTCTGCAACGTCTGCAGGGAGGCTCTGCCAGGCGTCACCTCCCACGGCCTGTCCTGTGAAGGTTCGTAGACACACAGATACACACATTTGAAGACACACTGAGGGTCAATAGCAAAGCTTTAGACCTAACCAGGTATCAGGAGCCGTTATCTTTGTATTTGACCGTTCACCTACATAAACGTCAAGGACAGTTTGGTGTCCTCATTCCTGTCCGTCATTGCTTAAAAGTATTTAGAGCATGTTAATGTGTTGGGAAAGAAATAGGTTTATTGCTCCTAATTGCAGGACTAGGCATTTGTAAAATTTCAATCTTCTTTGTCATGAATTGAAATGCTCTAAATACAAAGGCATTTGTTCTTTATTTTTCATCTCCCTTTAATGACTTTCCATAGATCCAAACGAAATAATTAGAGTGAACAAAATATATTTAGAAATGTATAAAATATATGTAAAATGTGTAAGATATAATTAAAAATGCTTAAAATATTTATAGACATTAAAAAAATAGAGCAACATTTATAAAATACATATTTGTATTTATAGAATTAAAAGGGAAATTTATAAAATAAATATTAAATGTAGAAAATATGAATAAAAATGAATAAAATAATTATAGGCATTTGAAAAAATAGAGAGAAATTCTTAAACTACATATAAGAAATTATAAAATAAATATTAAATGTAGAAAATGTGAATAAAAACATTTAAAAATATATAGAGAAATGTATAAAATGTATTTAGAGATTTTAAAAAAGTACAGAGAAATTTATGAAATAAATAGAGAAAATTAATAAGATAAAGAAACCTTTATAAAATACATATATATAGGAATTTTTGAAAACATACAGAGAAATTTATAAAATATAAATAGCATTCTGTAAAATGTTAAAAAACGTTGTGAATATTTTAAGCAATATTTAATCCTGATATATGTAAACGCTATTGGTGCCAATTAAAAAAAAATGATGACAGCAGAGAATAACCATCAGATGATCCAACACTTATCCAAAATAATATTTTTTAAACAAATCATCTTTTGGTAATGTCGTCCTGGTTAATGTCAAGTTGTCATTTTAAGGACATCCCAACCAAATTTAATGTCAACTTGTCATGACAAAGACAACTTCTGGTAATGTCACTTTGATTAATGTCAAGTTGTCATAATCAAGACAACCCAAACAATGTCAACTTGTCATTACAAAAACCGAATGACAATGACAGCAGTTATAAACGTTTATGACATGTACATAATGTTCATGACAGGTTCATGACAGTGTCATGTCATAGTTATGACAGTGTCATGTCACCCTTATATAGATACCTTCAAGTAAAGTGTAACCGTAGTTTGTCTAACATGACATGTTTTTTTATCTGTCCTCTGCAGTTTGTAAATTCAAGGCTCATAAGCGCTGTGCAGTTCGCTCCACCAACAACTGCAAATGGACCACACTGGCCTCCATAGGAAATGACATTATCGAGGATGAGGAAGGGGTGAGTAATGAGGCGGTGATTTGTGTATTTTGAATTTCATTAGATCTTTGCATACCAGTAATTCCTGCCCGAGTTGCCTAAATTTGGACCCCTGATGTCTCATGTTCTCAGTATTTTTTTTTGTATTTTTTTCAGGTGTTCATGCCCCACCAGTGGCTGGAAGGCAACCTGCCGGTCAGTGCCAAATGTGTGGTGTGTGACAAGAACTGTGGCAGCGTGCGGCGGCTGCAGGACTGGCGCTGCCTCTGGTGCAAAGCCATCGTAAGTGAGATCGATTGTGGCTTCCATCCTGTCAGAAAACTGTCTCGTCACATGAGTGTTAGTGTTTATTTAGGACATCACTGCTGGCTGGGAGGTATTTTCTTTTTAGATCTTAGCCTAGAAAGTTCTCACATGGATTTAAAATCAGTGTGTGTGACTCCTCTCTTCTGTTGCCTGTGGATAATCTCTTCTACACACCTCGCTACAAGAAACTGAAGGTGTTCCTTTAAAATCAAACTATTATCCAGGGTAATATAATCAGTGCCAGTCCAATTGGTAAAGCTTTTCCAACTACTAATATCTCTAGTGGGAGGATGAACCATGTATCCAGTGAGCCACAGTTTGCTTTAATATCCCAGCAGCTCTCTAATTGCCAAACCGACTATCCAAGATAATACAGTAAGTGTTGTGCTACTACCTTCACAAAAAAGTACAACGTTTGTCACTGGAAAATATGAAATATTGAAACAGAAATTGTTCTCATTCACTAACGGGTTTCCAATACATATGGTATTTGTAGTTTTGGTCTTAAACTGTGTGAAACACAAGTGAAAATATGTCAGATTATTAATACATACGGTGATATTTTCTTTAATTTGCTCACCAAACAATCTGATGTGTTCATATACACACAGAAAATTGTGACTCATAGTGACTTCTGCTCCCAAACTTGAAGACTCAAGGTCTGAAACATTCACTCAAGTCATCATAGTAAAGAGACGGGACTCAGGGTGGCAGCACAGATCCCCAAGGTGAAGAGGAGGAGGAGGAGGAGGTGAGCAGGTTAAAGATGAGGAATGAATCTGAGCTGATGAATTTATGTCAGCTCCAGGAGTCTGACCCAACGCTCTGACCGCCTACGGAAAGACAAACCAGAGCATGTCGCTGCTGTAAATCACAAAATAAAAGCCCAAATAAAGCTAAGCTTTATGGGCTGAGTTAGTTGTAGCCTGAAACTACCTTCGCTTTAGCAGGAGAACACAATGATGAAGCAGAAAAGTTCAGTGCAATCGTCCTTTAGGACACAAACAGTGACAGAGATGTAACTTCACGCTGTCTCACAGTGCCACTTAGCAAAGGCTGAGCTGCTTTTAGTGTTAAGGGCAAACAAACCCACATTAATAAGTCTAATCCTCAGCGCGCGCACACACACACACACACACACACACACACACACACACACACACACACACACACAGAAACACACACACACTGTGGCACGCACAAATGAATCAGAGTGGTATTTGTAAAGGTTACAGAACTGACATTTGGTGGGTTTCAGAGGGATGTAATGACCTTTCTGCTTCTACTGAAATATAGAATTACTATGGAGACCGCTGACTCTGTGTTTATGTGTGTATGTCGGTGTGCTGGTGTGTGTGTGTGTGTGTGTGTGTGTGTGTGTGTGTGTGTGTGTGTGTGTGTGTGTGTGTGTGTGTGTGTGTGCAGGTCCACAACAGCTGTAAAGAACAAATGGGGAAGGTGTGTCCCTTGGGTCAATATCGAGTGTCAATCATCCCTCCCACTGCACTTAACAGCATCGACTCAGATGGTGAGACACCTCGTACAAACACACAGACACACACATATACAGGCTCCTTTGTTCATGGTATTGTATGTACAGTAGGTTCAAAGCTCAGGAATGTCACCTTTCAACTCAGACGGTGTGTAAATCCTTTGGAAGCAGAGGGTGTGACGTTGCAACAGGCCCTTTGATTTTGCCGCTGTCAGCAACTGTAAAGCAAGTCCTTTTGATCTTGTTGGTTTTGAAACAACAGTTTTAATGAATATGTGAAATTCTAGCATGCTTGGACAAACATTTCTAGGAGAAATTTAAAGAAAAGATTAATATTTGCAACATATTTGCCAAAGATTTGATCAAATTATGCAAAAAAGGTTATCTTTTATTAGCAAAATGTATCATTCTGACACAATGCCCAGATCATTAGCAACCAGGATCCATCAAAGTGTCAACATTTGGACTCCAATCTGAGAGCTAGAAATGTTTTCGGTTTTTATTTCCTTTTTAAAAACATGTTTTATTCATTTACAATCAATAACTTCTTGCATATGACCTCAATCAGAGGACTACCAACTCTGCACAAATGCCTTGGAATTGTTTACCGCTGTTCCGATCAATCAAATTGGGAAAAAAACGAAGGCTACTTTAAGTGCTGAATACAGAGTGATGTAAAGGGGAGAAGTCATAAAAGAAATCACAGAGAAACAGCTAGATGTGGATCTAAAACCTGCGTCTTAAGTCTGGAGGAGCTGAGTCAAACGTTAGCATTGTGTCAAATGTGCCTCGAGTTAGATGCAGTAACACTGTACTGTCACAGCTTCTCCATGTTTTTAGCCACAGCCCAGATTTTTACCGGTGTTTCACCAGACCTTTAGAAATGGTTGACCTAGGGGGGTAGAAAATAGTAGCTAAATTTAGCTATTAATGTTAGCATGACAGCGGCGCGTCCGTGTACTAAGCTGAAATATAAGGGTGCTTTCACACCTGCCCTGTTTGGTTTGGTTCAAGCCAACTCAAGTTTGTTTGCTCCCTAAGTGCGGTTTGTTTGGGCAGGTGTGAACACAGCAATCACACTCAGGTGCGCACCAAAACAACTGAACCGAGACCTTCCTGAAGAGGTGGTCTCGGTTCAGTTACAAACGAACTCCGTTGCGGTTCGTTTGTGGTGAGAATGTGTTCCGACCTCGATCCGAACCAACTGCAGTCGCATGATTTGACTAAAATGAACAATGACAGCAATATAGTTTACTATGATCAGCGCTAAAATCAACCTGCGTAGTTGTCCCTCCATTGTGACATTAGAAAGTGTCACATTTATCTTGCAAGTGTACTCTTCTTCAACGGTTTGTTTACTTCCTGGATTTTTCCCACATGGAAATTCTGACCAATCAAGAGCAGCTTTCTCACACAAGTCATTTGATCTGGTCCGCTTGTAAATGCTGCCGTGAGAACACAAACCAACTCTAGGCAATTATGTATCTTCGTAACAAAATTAGTCCCTGATTCGGACCAAAGCAAGACAACTCTAGGTCTGACAGCACCCCAAAAACAAATAAGCACATTTGCTCACCCAACCTAAAACAACACATTCCTTTTCTTCATTTTGTGTGGTCACATCCAACATGAGTTTCAATTTTTTGACGATACCTGCTCCCTGATCATTAAATGCTTTTATGTAGAAGTTCTTCTGTTTACATTTCACACAGTATGTTTATCACTTCCTGCCCTCCATCTGAATTCCACGCCTCATTATAGTCACATGATTGCAAACAAACTATTTCTCTCCAGGCTTCTGGAAGGCCACCTCAGCGTCGTGCTCCAGTCCTCTCCTGGTCTTGGTCAACTCTAAAAGTGGAGACAACCAGGGGGTTAAGTTCCTCCGCAAGTTCAAGCAGCTCCTCAACCCGGCTCAAGTCTTTGACCTGATGAACGGAGGACCAGAGCTCGGGTACTTACTGTGAATTGTCGTACTTAATAATTACTAATGAAATAATGAGCTCATATGTAGCAGAAAGGTCTAACATTTACTAGGCTTTATTTTTACTGGTTGATTGCCTCACTAGTGGGAGCATCTGCTTCATAATTACTGGTTTAATGCGTGTACTGGTGCTGTAATTTCACTGCCTTTTCATGACATCTGCCTCTTGACATTTCATGCTTTGCGTCCTCCTCTTCCTCTCCTCATCCTCTCATCCTCCCATCCCATCCCACTCTCTGCTCCCTCAGCCTGCGCCTCTTCCAGAAGTTTGTGACGTTTCGTATCCTGGTGTGCGGAGGAGACGGCAGCGTGGGCTGGGTGCTCTCCGAGCTGGATAAACTCAACCTCCATAAACAGGTGAGAGCGAGGCAGAGGAGGAGGAAGAGGAGGAGAAGGGGATGATGATGTAATGTTGAAGGTAACTGTGGAGAGTGCTGATGGGCAAGAGAAAGCAGCAAGGTACCTCTTGTGCTGCTGTGATGATAAAAAACATCAGAACTAAAGCATTTAACACCTGTAGTCATGTTTCGTAACCTGCTCATTGTCCTCAATCATGACAAAGAAACAGTTTCAAACATGTGGCGAGTAAATTTTGTAGACATCTGGATGATACTAAAGCCAAAAAGGAAGTGACTGGGAAATAGACAGAAAAAGAACGGGGTGGCGATGGGTAAAGTCACCAATGATACACTCATTAGCTCAACTAAATAATTAATGTCACGCAGTTAATCTAAATGAATAAGTGCCATGTCGGATAACATGGTTTTCATTTTAAATTGGTGTTTAATTTGGATACAAAGTGCCGTGTCAAATCAGTTTAAATAATTATAGGTCATGTCATATTAATCAGATTAACCGGTTAATATCAAGGGTCAGACAGCGTGATGTTTCTCACATTTTTTCCTCATGATCTTCACCTTGTTCTGACTTCCTTATATAGTCATCTGATATTTGTCTTTATAATTCAAGATGTTACAGTTTGAAATAATTTGTTTGTCCTTGAGGATGTAATTTGGGCGCAGACTACCACTTGTCTCCATTCTGTACTGTATAATAAAACCATTTAACTGATTTGAACATGCTTGGCAATGTAATTAACACACACGTTAACTTAAATATTTAATTACTGATCGAAATAAGTCAGTTAAAGTCTTATATTTTTGCAGTTTGGCACAGAAGATGCCTGCGTCACTGAAATACTGTTGTTACATTCACTTGAAAATTAAGAAAACTGCAGATTTTAAATGAGTTTATACCTGTAGTGCGCCCATAATATCAGAGTGTGGACTGCAACTCTTGTGCCCATGTTTACCAACCCAAACAGTTTGTGATGCTTTATAACAAAAAGGACAAGAGCGAATAAGAAGATTTGATGTTGGGATATAAATGTTTTATGAGGACAGTGGATTTCACTGCTAAATTTTATCCTTTTGGTTCTTGTGAGGTTAAACCGGGTGTCTGCAGGTCCTAAAAAGTCTTAAAATGTCTTAAATTCAGTGTTACAACAAGGCCTTAAAAGTCATTAAATAGTCTTAAACTTGAATTTCTGAGGTCTTAACTACTAAAAACATTTTATCTAATTTATTTTTTTTATTAAAGATCTTTAAAAAACTGTAATACCGTCATTTTTTTCGTACTTGCACTTACCTGTTGGCAAAATGTAGATTGACTTAACTCACTCTAATAATCATATTCCTACATAACACTTCCTTCTGCAGAAGAACATATATATACTACTTCCCTGCAATGCTTACCTGCAGTGCTGAAATAAATAAAACATGATTTGTCCAAAAATCTGTCCTAAATTTGGTTAAAAGGCGTCTTGAACGGGTCTTAAAAAGCATTAAATTTAACTGTCTGATACCTGTAAACACCCTGTAAATGAGACATAATAAATGCTAGAATTGTATTTGTGCAGTAGTTACAGAGTCTCTTTGGGATTTAGATTGATGAAACAAATAATTTGTCTTGTGCTGAGTTTGATTGAAAATTGGATTAAGTCAGTTTGTTTGCAGATGATGTATTGTTTTACATTACAGTGCCAGCTCGGCGTTCTGCCTCTGGGCACAGGCAACGACCTGGCTCGTGTTCTGGGCTGGGGAGGCCTCTGTGACGACGATGCCCAGCTGCTGCAGATCCTGGAGAAGCTGGAGAGAGCCACCACCAAAATGCTGGACCGGTAAGACCAGAGGGACAGAGGGTGGCGGAGGGCAACAATGTGGTTTGCACTGTTTCTTCCCAGCAAGGTACAGAGTCCATACAAGTTGGCTCTGTTTTTCTTTGAAGGTCTTAGTGTCCTGTCATGTTCTCAGACTTGATTGGAAAATCCACTTCAGGTGGACTGATGACTAAATTGTGTCAAGCTACAGTATCAACATGACCGATAGGAAAACTGTCCTGAATGATTTCCCTGAAATAAGTTGATGGAAGAAATCCCAAGTGAATGCTGTGTCGAAATCTGATCTAGGGTTGTGTGCCTCTCAAGGGCAGCAGAGATGAGCAAGCAATAGTCAAAGCAATAAAGATAATTAGCTAAAAGTAATACAGGCTATTTATTTCTATTAATGCATCGGGGAAAGATTCATAAACAACATTAAGAGTAGCATTAGCGCATAATTGGCAGCTGGTGGCTGAAAACAAACATAAATCAACCAGTTACACATAGTGTATATTAGGCATGTCCCCATCACAAGCTTTTGGCCCACGTCCCAATCTGAGTCTTTTAATACTGAGTATCAGCAGAGTCCAATTTCATACTTACATTTATCTAAATGTTAATTAAATATGTATCTGGTACATTAAAATTGCGGCTGTGGCATTCTAAATTTGACCAGCCTCATTTTTCACAAGCCGCTTGATCCAAATACTGAAGGTCCCCATTAGGTCTGTGATTATAACTGCATCACTGCCATACTGCAGCAAGTTGGCAAAGACGGAAACTGGAGCCGGGTGGGAGTTTAGGGAGGGTAAAAGCTTCATTGGTGTCATCAGGTGGGTACCTCCCTTCACTGGTGTTTCGATGAGAGGCCCACGACACCTCCAGAGGGCTTATCGGCAGCACCTGGCGTCCCAGGTGCGCCCCCCTCTGCTTTTACTTCCTCATACCCTGCTGTTGTGAGTGATATTTCGGGGCCCATATGGCGTCTTTCCTCTTAATCCATAGCCACTGGCTTGTAAGTTTTACACTTCCATTTTTATACTGATTTATTATATGAAATGCAGCATTTGGATTAGTGAGTTTAAGTTTAAGTTAAGACAGAGCCACGCTAGCTGTTTCCCTCTGTTACCAGTCTTTGTGCTAAGCTAAGCTAACCAGCTGCTGGCTGTAGCTTCATATTTACTGTACAGACATGAGAGTGGCATCAGTCTTCTCAGCTAACTCTTGCCAAGAAAGTGAATAAGTGTATTTCCCAAAACGTTCAGCTACTCCTTTCATTAAAAGTGCGTAATTCAAGTATGTTTAAAAAAGCTCACATGTTCTGCAGGTGTTCACCGACTTCTTCATCCTCAGCTTGAACTACAGATGGATTTTTGTAGATCTGCTGTTTTTATCAGCGACACAATCACAGATAGAAAAAGACATTTCCATTTCCCGTGTCCTGTCCTCCTATCTTGATCTGATTAGCTGATAATAAAGTTTATTTTCCGCTGATTGACAACGGCGTGTGTCATTGTGTGTCTTTGTAGATGGAGTGTGATGACGTACGAGGTGCCAACCACCACTAAACGCACACCCATAGTGAAAGAAGACGACAGCCTCGATTCTCCTCTGCAGGTAAATTACTCTCAGGAAGCTGTCTGCTTTTTGACAGATGGTGTCCATAAATTAGCCCCACGTAGCCAGACCTCACGAGCTCCAAGAAATTATTTTGGAAAACATCCACTGAGAATCAATTGAGTATGGCAGCTGGGAGCCAAAGCAATCAGACCTAAAACACGGGGAGTAGCTCAGATATTGACGAAGGACAGCTCTGTATTTTAAATTTAAGCTAAGAGCTGCTTCTTAGCTCCCGAAAATCTTTTTGGTAGGTTTCGGGGCATGCTGGAGTTTTAAAGTTGCAGTATGATTCTGCAGCTGCAGAGCCAGTTTCTCACCACTGTTACATTTCTTACTTTGGTGGATAATTGAAGTAAAATCTCCCAGAGGAGCAATCCCTTTCATCATTTGTCATTTGTCCATTAGTTGAAGGCTGATCCACTCAAATGAAGGGGATTTATTGGGAGACAGCATCCCAAACCTATCTTAGTTTTGCCTTTTGAACCTAGCCAGACAACAGTGGTCATTTTTGGACAGTTAGTTAAAAAGTTCTGTATTGACTTATATTTGTTCTGTTTTTTGTTCTTCCTCTAGTCAATGTTTTTAGGTGACTGATGATTAAAATCACATTAATCAAAGGCTTTTTTTTCCCGAAAAGTCATGACTGACGATTTAAGCAGTGGCTGAATGAAGCACACAGATTATAGACAGAAGAAAATAAAATGTTTTATGCACATAAACAGGATAAAGAGTGCAAACACTACCTACAAGTAAAATATAGAGTTAAATAACACCACCCTCAGAGAGTCATTTAATTATCAAGTTTTAAGATGGACGGACGGACGGTTAGGTAGACACATAGATAGATGGATGGATGGATTGACAGACGGATGGACGGTTAGATGGATGGATGGATGGATGGACAGACGGACGGACGGACTGATGCATAGATAGATGGATGGACAGACGGACGGATGGATGGATGGATAGATAGATAGATAGATAGATGATGGATGGACAGATGGACAGTGCAGGTATTGCAGTGTAAGGTGATTAAAGTGTTAGAGCAGTGCAGGAGTAATGAATACTTTGCTATGGATAATATAAATGCAGTTAAAGATGAATAAATGAACAGATACTGATGCTGATATAGATTTTTTTTCTTTAGTAGAGGGTGCTTAAAAGTAAAAACTGGAAAATTGGAAAGATAAAAAATGCACAGTAAGTTAAATATGAAATGCTAACAGAGGGGGTATATATATCTATAAATTAAAAAAAAGGAAATTAAATGAAAGGCAGATTTCCCAGGTTCAGATTAAACCCATGAGACTTGAAGCAAAAGACAAAAAGTTTGTGTGTCCAGTAAGGACGTTATTACCAAACGGTGATTTGGCCCGTTCCAAATCCCATAATCAAACCTTGTACTGTATTTAAATCTTATTTAAGATCATGAATTTTCTGCTGATAGCCGTCATACTGCTAAGAAAAAGGCAAAAATCTACTAGAAAATTTTAAGACCAACTTCACAAAGGTTTGACTGGATCAAATAATCTCAGGCCCAAACTTCTACCCCTCTCTTTTATAAGTCTGAAGTCTCTTTCTCACTCTCAGGTCCACATCACTCAGTATGCAGACTCCGTGGCCTCCCACCTCGCCAAGATCCTGGACTCGGACAAACACAGTGATGTCATTTCCTCTGCCAAGTACGTGCCACGAATGCCTTTGAAATACAGGGAAAGCAGGAGGGAGGAGGAGGCGGGTCAAGGATGGGGGATGAGAATAAAGATGGCAGGATGAAAGCAAGGAGGCAAAAAGGAGAATAGAGAAGAGAGATGATGAGAGAAAGAGACAGACAGAAAGGGGCAAGTGAGTGTCTGGTCAATGAGTATTGATTTTTTTCTTCCTCCCTAAGGACACACACTCGCACACACGGAGGGGACAGTAAGTGCTGCCCGGCTGTAAGTGAAAGAGATGGATGAATCAGTATTTAGGGGCCATCCTCTGTGTGTTAGTACATTAGTAGTCTTCCTTTGGGAAAAGTCTAGCGGCCATTACAGAGCACTTTTCTCCACCGCTCCGTGTGTGTTTTTAAAGCGCTGCTGATTGTAGTGGAGCGCATTTAAAACACTTCAGGGACTATTGAACGCACCCAGAGCACATTTTCATCGAAACGCAACACCAGTGTTGTCAGACAAAGAAAATGTTTCTTTCCTGCTTTGAAATGTTTATTTTTGAAATCTTGCAGTGGAATTTTAAAAGGTTTTAATTAGCCGAGGGTCAAGAGAAACACTCGGCACATGGTAGAAATGAAAATAGGAGCCAGTTCGAGCACAGAATAGTATAAATGGGATTCCATCAGGATCAGCAAGCTCAGTGCGACACTTTACTCTCTTTACTTTGCATATTTGTGCATGAAATTATTTAAGGTTGCTCACTTTGTCTTGTCATGGTAATCCTAATTTCTTATAGAAAAATAGCATCAAGATTCAGTCTGTATTAGAGTTTACATCACATACAGGGTTGTGCTTTGTTATTATCCACTTACCTGTTATAAATGTGTTGTCGTTTCGCCCGCAAAGACACAAAAGGGACATTAAGTAAAGTAAGACTGCTGTCCGCTTCTAATGGTTCCCTTTAACCATTAACAATGATATGTTACTGACATAATAGGGTCACATTTAACAATAAAGAAAGGTAAGTAAGATGGATGAGTCCAGCTGAGCTCCAGCAGAAAGATCTCATACAGGGGGAGATCGTTAAATGATATCACTGCTTTGTCATCGAATTTAAAAAGCAGGAATTCCCGCTGAGATTGAAAATGTCTTTTACAAGAGACCTGGCCAAGGTAGCTGCCAATCAGAGCACGTTTAGATGCAACAAATACAACATATCCACAATAAAACAACAACTATTCAAATACAGTGGCCACGTGTCTCTGTCACCACATTCTTTATGATGCCCTTAAATTCGTGGATGGATGCAAGTGTTTCTAATTTTAGATGTTTCCGAAGATTCTTCCATGTCCAGGGTACAGAGTAGGAGAATGCAGTTTTCCCCAGATCTGTTAAAACCCAGGGTTCATAAAAAAGCAACCACTTGGAGGAGTGTAGAAGGGTGCAGACAGAGGTAGACCGGAAGTTTGCCCAGTATTGCTTTATAGATAAAGATATACCAGTGCTGTTGTCTGGGAATGGTCAATGACGTTCAACCCACCAAACCATAAAGAATGCAGTGATGAGTAAGTGACTTTGTACACTGAATCAAGGCTATGTAAAATAGATGAGGTTGCATGCATTGTTGGTTAGAGATGAACCTCCTTCTGCTTTACATCAGCAGCTGGTGAAGAAATCCTTAAATTAACAGCTGGTGAGGAAAATGATGGTATATAATGTCACGTACGAAAAGGCAACAGATTAAGAACTTGCATAAACATGCATGAAGACGCCTGTGGGGAGAGTACAGCTAAAGTTAAGCAGATGAGTACATTGTTGTCCTTGGCAACAGTCTGTTTAGTCTATCCCAATTTATACAGTCTAGGCCTCAACTAGGAGTGTTAGGTGTTAACTATAGAGTCTTGTTCAGTCTTGCTGTCGTACATTGTGCGTTCATATCTTTACTATGTACTATGTATTTAGCCACAGCATTTTCTTTTCAGCTTTACAAACAGAAAAGAACGTTTTCTGTGTTATTAACCTCAGACTAACATGAGAATTGTGATCAAAAAGTCACATTTGGTCATCGGGCTAGTTTTCTATCTCTGTCAAGAAGTTGTAGAAGTTCTACTGGGTTTTTTTTTTTATTTTTTTTTTTTTTTTTACAAACTTGACACGTTCCGAGTCACTTGCGGTCGGTTAAGAAAGGACCTGTGACCCATGAGTTGGGAACCACTGCTTTAAAAGATCCAACGTCACTCTGGCACTGTTCACCCCTGGTATTAACATGCGTCTTGGGTAGTTTAATCACAAGTGGACAGCTCTATGTCTGTCTGTTCGCACCAGGCATTAAAATGTGTCTCCACATTTGAGATGCGCTCTATGTGCAAATAAACACATGTATAATTTCCATTTGTGAAGACCAAATGCGTTGTTGTTTTTGTGCCTTCATGCCTGCAACAGCTGTGGTCGAAGGTGGTAAGGCCAAAACACACCGGCGCCGTACGACGCGCGTCAAAACAGCCGCCCCCATTATTTTCTATTTACAAACCCACACCGGCGGCAGCTCGACGCGTGTTGACGTGCTGCGCCGCGGCACTTTACGCTATTGTCCTGTTTTTCCAGCATCACCGCCCTTGAAAAAGCACTATTTTGTACTTCCCAGCCTAGCGGACTGGAGTGTGCAATGGAAATCCGGTTGACGCCCCGCAGCGCGACGCTTTTTGTGTGTGTTGGGGGCGGTACTTGACTCACGTCAATGACGCCGCCGTCATATGACGCCGCCGTTATATGACGCCGCCGGTGTGTTTTGGCCTTTATGCTTTCAGTTGGTACGTACATCCAAACTTCAAAGTACGTCCCATTCTTGCGAATGCGATATCTCAGGAACGCTTTGCTGGAATGACTTCAAATTTGGCACAAACGTCCACTTGGACTCGAGGCTGAATTGATTAGAATTTGGTGGTCAAAGGTCACCGTGACCTCACACTTTTTTGGCCATAACTCAAGAATTCATACACTAATTATGACACAATTTCACACAAATATCTAACAGGGCAAAACAATTAATTTATGATATTTTTTATCCAAAAGGTCAAAGGTTAACTTCACTGTGATGGCATAATGTTGTGCACCTTCAAACTGTGCTGACTGTATAGATCTTCTGTGCTTGCGGGATGAAGATGTGTGTGAAGCATCCATGTTTTGCAATTTGTAGCTTCTTTGCAGCCACATCCATGTTTGAAGCACTGTCAGCTGTCATGGCTACATGAGTCTGGACAGACAAGGGTGTAAACTACAACTTGAGTGATTGCTGGAGGCATTCAACCTCGGGGCAGTAATTCTAGTTACTTTTTGGTTAGTTAGTTTTTTTCCTCTTCAAAATGTCCACATGAATCTCCCAGTTGTGATATGAATCATCCAATTTCTGTTGTACTGATTCTTGGCCCAAATACGTAGCATCAGACAGCGTGTGTTGTGTACACTCGATCCACAAGAATCCTCCTGTTGCTGTGGCTTCTTCTTCTTCTTTTATTGTTGTGGCTTGTTCTTGTTGTTAAAACAATGCCATTGGCGTGCAAATGAGTACGTACTTCACCCTACGCAGAGGACATCAGCCGAGTTCCTTTAGTGTGGCTCAGGACACATAAGCATACACACTGTTGAAAGAATGTGGCCATATGCGACCCAGACTACTTCTGTGTGTGGTCTGAGCGATCAGATCTCAAGATGCATTGGGGACCCATCTGGTTCATTAACACTTGTACTTAGAGGTGTCCATGTGTGATCCGATCACCCAAGACACATGTTAATACCAGGTGTAAACAGGGCCTCTGTTAACATGAATCTAAAACCTGGCTACTCCTGAACACTTCCGAAAGAAATGAAGGTACTTTCCTGGAGAGGTAGTGACATCATTTTCAGTTTCGTCTGGAATCTTAATAACCGAGGTGTTATGTTTGGAATAGCAGCAGTGGCAATCTTAAACTAAGGTGTAGACAGTAGGAGATCAAAATCAAATAAGTAGGTGTTTTCAGAGGCAACAATTGTAAGTTTGCAACCAAAACAAAATGTCACGATGCAGTCAAACTCCTTTAACATCACCCTGCAACCTGCAGCTGTTGAGCATCAGCATGATTCATTTCCACCTCTGACACCTCAAGGTAAAGGATCATTTGCATGATACTCGGCACTAATTTGCGAGACACAGACTGAGCACACGCCTTTCAGATTCTACCATAAACTAGTTAAAACAGTGTGCCATCATGCATCTCTAATTTCCAGACTTCTCATTTGGACATTAAACCTGTGAGAGTGAACAGGAGACACATTAATGAAGAACGTGTTTTTCTGCAGCAGTCTTCATTTGACAGGATCAAATATTTGCTAAATGCGCGAGGACTGTGTGAGCTTGGAGAAACCTCCCTGCTGAGTCATACAGCAGCAATGTAACAGCTGTGAGTAAATAGTGACTGTGTGGAGGCGACGTAGCTGACAGGCAGGTAGGCGGCAATGTAATCTCCAAACACAGTGACTGCACGGTGAATCACCAAATCAGAAACGTGTTACCCTGGCTGATCTGTTTCATCTTCTGCGCTAATCATGTTGACCTTCACCCTCACACCCATCCCAACGTTATTCTCTCCTCTCCTGTGTCTCTCCACCGCTCCGTCAGGTTTCTGTGTGGGACGGTGAATGATTTCGTGGCGGAGGTGGGGAAGGCGTACGAGAGAGCCACAGAGAACAAGGAGGAGGCAGATGCCATGGCAAAGAAGGTAAATGGTTTTGTGTGTGTAATCGCTTGCATTATGTAAGAGCTTGTGTAACACTAACTAGTGGGCAGTGTAGGGGTGTGTGTGTGTGTGTGTGTGCGCATAATAGAGAGTGAGACAGAAATAGTTGTGTGAAGGTTAAATTTCACTATCTTATTTAATCATTTCATACATTATAAGAATCCAGTTCAAAGAGCAATCAAAGCTGGAGGGCTGACAATGAGTGTTAAAGGGGCAACCTCAAGCTCAACTGGTAGAGTGTGCGCCCACTTGAAGCTGAGTCCTATGCAGCAGCCTGGGTTTGATTTCAACAAGCGGCCCTTTGCTGCATGTCACACACCCCTCTTTTCTCACCTTTCCTATTTATCTTAGCTGTCCAATCAATAAAGGCAAGAATCGCCCAAAAAAATAACCTCTATTTTCCCATGTTTTCGTGTCCAAGCGACTTAAGGCCAAAACACACCAGCAGCAAACGTCAGGCATCAAAAAATACACCCCTGTTATTTTCAGTGTATAACCCCACACCGGTGGCAGCTAGTGATGCCGCTCCTGGACGCACCAATTTCCAGCCTCGTTGCCCCTGGAATTAAATCCATTTCTCCCTGCTTGTACATACCAGCTCCCGTAGCAGCTCTTCTCTGCTCCTATTGCGGCTCGACTCCTCTCCTCACCATGAATGCATAAAGAGAACTCTGTTGCTGTTACTCGTGTGTGACAAAGAATGAATGAAGAGAGACTTGTTGTTGAGGTGGAGAAATATTCCGAGCTAAACAACCTACAATCCCGTCATTATAAAGACGATGGCCAAAGAGATATTGCTGATATTGCGAAGGATATTGCGAGTCCCAGCTCTGGAGATCGGCTCTTCAGATGGAGATCAAGTTTAATTAGGGGCTCTCCACACTATGATTTTAATCTAACACACAGATGAGAGATGTTTCAGTAAAAGTAGTAATAACTTTGTGTGGTCATCTGTTAATGAGCTGCAGTGCAATGTATCCGGTGTGTGGTAGGGACAGCACTTAACACGCCGATGTGTTTTCAGCTTAATGGTAACAACAGTTTTTGAAATTGGCCCTGTATTGAGTTAAACCGCAGCAGGCAGCAGCCACGAAATGGGCTGTAATGTAACTACTTGGGATATGTTTACATATTAATTTATGTCCACTAAAGGTGCTTGTTTTTGCCACTGATAGGCTCAGATTGCTATCGTAAGTGTCTGACAACTCATGGAAAGGATCCCTCCAGAGAAATAAAGTGTTTATCTTCGCCTTTCGCTTGATCCGGTTTGGTATTGTCTTTATGCAACATCTCAACTCGCGAAATCAAAACAAGACTTCTCCTCAAACGGGACTTTGTTGATAAAGAAAAATGTTTTATTTCTTTGTTAGACACAATCTGAGCCTGTCAGTTGCAAAAAAAAAGCACTTTCTAGTTGACACACATTACTGTGCACAATTGCCCCAAAGGAACACATTGCAGCCTTTTTTGCAGCTGCTGGCTGCAGCGCTCTCACTAAATACTGGTCAGATTTCCTAAATTGGTGTTCCCATTAGTCACTTAAGCATCAAAACAATGGGGGAAGAAAAACAATGATAGTTGGAAAACACCAAAGGTTCCCTTTAAAGAAAAGGTGTAGACGTAACAAACCTGCCTACTCATCATCACTTTGACATCTTAGTGGTACTATTCCTGTCCTGTAACAAGTATTATGGAAAAAAATATTTTATGGATTTGAAATTATTTGGATTTTCTTGCCTGTATGTCAACAGGTTTTAAACACACCATAGATCTAAGTATATTAACGGACAGAGGACATTGTCAGTGTTTCAGGGACATAAGAACCGTGTTACTGTGACACTCTGAATGTCCAAAAAATGATATCAACAATGATAGTGTCAAACTAAACAAAAATGATGGGAAAAAAAGATTTTCATGGATTTGGAAATATGACGTTGCCATGGAAACAGTGAGCATAAAATAGCTCAGGCCTTTTTTTTTTTCAGCCTATATTGTTGTAAGAGCTGAAGCAGTTAGTAGAGTAAAATGAGATGAACTTTTTTGACCTGACAGCGGGAGAATTCACTTGTTAAAGAGTCAGAAACAAAAGAGAAAAGTGATTGAGTGAAAAATAAAGATGAAACAATGTAAAAGACTTTCTGTAAATTCAAAATAAATAAATAAATAAAAGCTACATACACTATGTACACTTTTCACCTATCCAGGTATGTCCATGATGGATAACTGCACTGGATTATAATCTTTAATTACTAATAAATAATTAGTCAGTCAACAGGAAATTAATCACCATCCTTTTTTTTTATAACCAATAATTGTTTAAGTTAACATTTACGCAGAAATTCAGCTTCTTAAATGTAAATACTTTTTGACGTTATTAATCATCTATGATACCAAATGGAATATGTTTGAGTTTTGGGGCTATTGGTCGCACAAATTAAGACATTTTAAGACGTCACTGTGGGCTCTGTGTGCGCTTGACAGGCATTTTTTTTTAAGCTGTTTACACTTTATAGACCAACCAATTAACCAATTAATTGATCGATAAAGAATTAGATCTATTGATAATTAAAATAAGTTGTTTAATAAGTTGTTTAAATGTTACGTTGTGCCATAAAAATTGAGCTAATTCAAAGAGTAAGTTTTGATTTGAATATCATCTGAATAAACTAAAGCTGTCAGGCTGAATATGGTGGAAACATGATAAAAGCATACGCAACAAATCTAAAATATATCCACTTTATGGACAGTGCAGCCATGAACAACATGGAGTCACTGTGTTTGAATACGTCACTCAGTGTAAACGTCATACGTTTATAATGGAACAAGCTGACACAGAATACGAGTCAGAGAGAGCTGGGCTGTAAGGGGTTAAACTGAATCATTACAGCAGCTGTCAGTCACCAGCATGTAAAAGTCCTACAAGTCTGAAACCGCAAAGAGACTCATGCTGAGAGGAAGAGTGGTTTGCCAAATGTTCTTTGTGAGACGTTTCCAAGAAGAGAAAGTCTTTTCACCCAGCAGAGGCGTCTCGAGCCTTCCCCAAACTCCTCCCTGTCAGAGCGCTTTGAGCTCCGTCCCGCTTATCCATCCTTTTTTTTTTCTTTCCAAATAATGTGACGCTTCATTGAAGCCTGGAGGGGAAATTCGCCTATTGCTTCTGCAAATAAAAGAGCTCTATGCTCTGTATAGGTATTGATTTCATGCTGGTTTCAAGTCTTACTGCAGCAGCTTAAAAATGAGAATTCAGGGCCTGTGTCCACATAGCACCTTTTCTGGCAGAAAGGCGCTGGAAGGGCGCTGCGGAGCGCTGGGATGAAGCGTCTGTGCGCCCCAAAAAAAACGCTCACAAGGGTTTTCGTTTCTATGACAACAATATCTTGACAATTCCTGTAGCCACGCAGTTTTGCAGCATCGCAAAGCAGCGAACTCCTCTGGTAATTTCATTAAAAGGCATGGCATATAGGTCCACAGTAGCTTATTATTATTATTATTATTATTGGGTCTTATAAGAGTGGGCTACAATGAGTACCAGGCCATCAAATCACAGCATCCGCGGTGAGAGGACACGGAAGTGTGTGCGCTTTTACGCACGCGGGTGTAGGTGATCACGGATCTTTGATGTGGGAAAGATGTAGCCAGATGTATTACCTGTTTTAGATACATGGCTGTCTGTCCGTCCGTCCGTCCGTCCGTAGCATGAGTCATGTGCGCCACTTCACCACCGACCCGTGTGTAAAAGCGCAAACAGTCCCTCAGCCCTCGCGAGCTGCTCTCTCCCTGCCTGCAGGGCTGTCCCTCCTTGAGGCAATGAATGAGGAAATAATCGCCCCGGCGATATAACGAAATAATAAGTCGTTATCACGAGATAACAGTGCACACACACAAAAAAAATACATGGCCGTTCTCGTCTTCCGTATGATACATATACTGTGTTAATCTTTTAATGCTACAGCTGGTGAAGTCATCATCATGTTTTATTTGTAGGATTTGTGTTAATGTACTTAGTAACTTTGCCACCACTGTATGGGTTAGAATTTATTACATGTGTGTTGCTGTAAAATCTCTCAATTTATATAGGCCTATTGCTGGAAAAATAATTAATTTAACTAAGCTATATATATATATTCTCTGTTATGGTAATGTCTGTGTGACATGTCATACAACTCCAGATAGACGGAGACAGCCAGCACCAGCTTCTCCTCCATTTTTTCTGGTTACCAGGGTGACGAGTTCCGCGATATGATTGGTTGCCTGGAAAAAGCGCCGGTGACGACACCAGCGCCTCTCTGAAAAGTTCAGAGATTTTCAACTCAAAACGCTCGGAGCGGCCGCACAAAAAAGGAGGAGCGGCTGGAAAAAAGATGCTGGGCGCACCGCCTTTTCACTACGCGGCCGCATGCGGCCGCAGACGCTCTCTCCTCATTGGGAAGAATTGAAAAAAGACGCTGGCCTTCTTCTGGCGCACAGAAAAAGGCACTATGTGGACACAGGGCCTTAGGAACTTCTGCCCGACATTGATGTGTACTTCATCTCCCAATTTACACTCTTCTCATTTGATTTTGAAGTGAGCAAGGCAGCCATAAAAAAAACAAAATAAATATCAATAAAAATATCTGTGTGTGTGTGTCTGTGTCTCTTTTCCCAGTGTGCACTGCTGAATGAGAAGCTTGATTCCCTCGTCAAGGCCTTAAGTGAAGAAGCAGAAGCTCAGGTAATAACACTACCAGCTCTAATCAGTATGAAATAGCCACAGCAATAAGTGCAGCCTCATAGCTTGATTAAAATGACAAAACAATCCTGAGTCATAATACTTCATATGAAGCAGCAGCTAAAGTCCTTTGCACCGAAATGAGATCCGAACAGCCTGAAGTGCAGCTAATAATATAAAAGCTGCTTGTTAAAGGATGTAAATGATAATGGAGGTTTGACTGAGGGTGCTTTCACACCTGCCCTGTTTGGTTCAATTCGTTTGCCCCCGAAGTGCAGTTCGTTTGGGCAGGTGTGAACACAGCAATCACACTCAGGTGCGCACCAATACAACCAGACTGAGACCTTCTTGAAGAGGTGGTCTTGGTCCGGTTACAAATGAACTCTGGTGCAGTTCGTTTGTGGTGAGAACGTGTTCCGACCTGGATCTGAACCAACTGCAGTCACTTGACACATTGTTTGGGTTAAACATGAGCATGTTACAGTCCTGGAGGATTATTAATGTGCACCTCCTCCTGTACTGCCTTAATATGCACATTCAGCACATCCAATGCTTCAAAACATTGTTTTCTAGTTGGAGCCGCACCTCGTTTTCAAACTGTATGGTTTGCCTAAAATGAACAATGACAGCAATATAGTCCACGATGAGCAGCGCTAAAATCAACCTGCGTAGTTGTCCCTCCATTGTGACATTAGAAAGTGTCACATTTATCTTGCAAGTGTACTCTTCTTCAACGTGTTGTTTACTTCCTGGATTTTTCCCGCATGGAAATTCTGACCAGTCAAGAGCAGCTTTCTTTGATCTAGTCTGCGTGTAAATGCTGCCGTGAGAATACGAACCAACTCTAGGCAATTATGCAGCTTCATAACAAAATTAGTCCCTGATTCAGACCAAAGCAAGACAACTCTAGGTCTGAAAGCAGCCTGATTTCACACTTATTTATATTTTTGGTAATTGAGTCATCAAACCGATCAGAGCTGATCAGATCAAATGGTCCAAAAACAGAAAATCAAAACATGGCAGCAGATGTTTTTTCATCATGATGGGCCGCCACACATAAATAAACGTGGGAATCCCTGACACTGGCGTTAGACACTCTTGACATAGAATGTTCATCACGCGACGTCATAACCCAAATTCAACCAAACATCAATGTCTAACCATGTGAGTAGCCTGGCATCATTGGGTCAATGTAAGGATGATTAATTAGGCACAAAATGTCAGTTTCTGATATCACTAGGGATGCAAAATGATATCTGCACATCATCTGTACTAGCCAGTACTGGCTTTAAAATGAAATCTCAGAATCGGTAAACATGCTTTTTCTTGTTTTGCACAGTGAATGAATATTACACACATTGAAAGCATTGTATTTCATGTCTCCATCTGCTGGTGGGCTGTCATGATAAAGGCCCATTTATGCTCCCTTTACGTACGAAAATGTATACGTCCGTTTCAAATGATGTTACCGTCACTGCCCACATACTTCCATGCGTCTTTTACATTGGCATGGATGTTAACCAATATATCCACCAGGGGGCAGCCCAGAGTCAAAAGTTTATGACAACAAACTCAAAAACAAACATTGCGACTGTGGAGGAGATATTGATAATGTACCTCTTGCATAAAAGACAAAGTCTCTAGTACTGCCAATGAGGGAAACTGACGACGAGTGTCATTTCCAGTACTTCGATGACCGCCATTGTTATTTCTTATTCGTGTCTTACTAGAGCTACGTATCGGGTAGTGACAGCAACACTGCCCCCACGGTTTCCGGTGGTACTGCTCCGTTTGGCCCGTATCCGTAAGCTTTATGGAAACGTGCAGAAATACGGACGAAATGAACGCGGAGCACGGACAGAAGGCTCCGTCCGTATCCGGATCTGTATTTAACGTTGAACATAAATGGGCCTTAAAGGTATACATGCATATTATGATGGTAATTCCACTACTGAAGGGCTTGATGATCACTAAAATTAGGTAGGGATATATTGGTATCAGTTACCGGTCAAATGAGTTGTTACATATCGGCATATCGGATTTCAGCAAAAAATCCAATATCATGCATCTCTATTTTCCACCTAGTGAGATAATGATGAAGTTGAAGACTGCACACTATATTTTTGAGATGCTGAATGCTGTCGTTTGATCAGAGAGGATATAAAACGTTCCCCCTCAGTTTTTAAATCCCCTCCCGATTCAATCTGAGCCTTTATGGGAGTAGCAGTAGAAAACAATGATGGTTTTTCACACGTCTTAAGTCTCCTCACAGGAGCTAAAAAACAAAACTGCACACAGCTTTTAGACTCTCTGCTCCCTTTGGAGTCTCTTATTCTCAGATTGATGTCGGTGCTCTGAAAGAAGTAATGGAGCCCTCAAAATGTCAGTATGATTTCAACCTCCTGCTCAATAAAGGGAGGAAGGCACTGAATCCAAGCTTTGCACCGAGCACCATTTCATATTGGATAAATAAAATATGGATATCCTCTTCCTCAGTGCTGCCTGTAAATGAATATTAACCTGCCTTTATTGCTGGAAACGAGCGATGACGCACTACTGTTAGACTCCACGGAGCAGGAGTACTAAAGATGTATGAATGAGATGACATTTTCTGTTTTAATATTGCTGCTTTAGTGATAATGAGACAATGCTGCAGGGTTTCCCCTGCTCTTAAAATTAAATAAATCTCATCAGGGAATCGGATAACATCAGGAATTAAACAAAAAGGTCACCTAATGGGAATATACCAGGATGGCTTATACAGACGTATTATAACGTGCTCTATTTCCCTGCCACAATCAGGTGGTACCAGCAGGTTCGGTGCCGAGCCAGGAAAGCGGCGGCTCGAGCCCCGGAGAAAGTGGCGGTGAGTCCGGTTCAGAGGGTAAAACGTACCGTTCCAAGGAGCAGCTGATGCTCAGGGCCAACAGCCTGAAGAAAGCCCTGAGGCAGATCATCGAACAGGCAGAGAAAGGTAACTCGAGTGAATTCATCGTGTTCCTCGTCCTGCTTTTCCTTTCTTCTTCTGTCAGAATCATTTTGACACGATCATGCCTTGAGTACTTTGTATTTAAGTTCACCAATGTCATCATTTCAGTGGTGGACGAACAGAACCGACACACGCAGGTCCAGAGGATGTCGTCCTCATCCTCCATCAAAAGAGAAAACAGCGAGGAGCTGAAGGATGCTGAGCCACGTAAGTGTCCCTTTGGTTTGAGCTCAGCGGGGACACAAGGTGAAGAGACGCGCTCCTCAAAATGCTGCTTGTACATCAGTATTTTAAACTATCACGACTGCATTTTGTCAGGGACGGTTTGATGACGACCCACTCCTTCAAGGATAGCTCATAATCTGCTAAACTTTGCCTTATTAAACATTGATAATTTCAATTTTAGAAACTCTATCCTATTGTTGAACATTTTTTTATCAAAGTAACCAATTATGCCTCCGTCCAGGTCAAGGAAGCTTAAGTCCCACCTCCCCCATTGTCCTTGAGAAACCAGAGAGCCTCCACACCGTCACCTTCAGCGAGGACACTGTGTAAGTCTTCATGTGCGCTCATCTGTTTGCAGGCATTCGTACATCTGTGTCTGTCACGTACCAGCTGTGTTTTAATGTATTATCACATTTTAATCTACATATTTTTCTGTGTTTGCAGACAATGCTCAGAGAAGTGTGTGATGAACAATTACTTCGGTATCGGCCTGGATGCCAAGATTTCCCTTGAGTTCAACAACAAGAGAGATGAGCACCCTAAAAAATGCAGGTATGAAGGTTCACAGAGCGTTTTATTAAATTGTATAACTCAGCAACTCTTTTGCCAACAAAAAACTGTTGTGTTGTAACGTAAAAGTGTATTATTTCCTGTTCAGTATTTCTCCACCCAAGATCAGCATTGATCTAGCATTAATCACACACCATAAAACTTAAATCAGAAGTCTAGTCCCAATTAAACACCCAGTCCTTTTTCCTAGCCTGATGTGGCCACACATTTTGACAAATAAAGGCCCGTCTCAATTGACCCTTCGCTAAGCCCCGCCCCCCTTAGTTACTGTTGCCACGTCCGTCAAGCTTTCGCTCCTAGCATAAGAAATATGGAGTTTTCAGCGATATCAGTGAGAGATATTCCAAAGGAAATAACATCAAATTTCTGGAACAACTGTTCGGAGATATCTACATTCACAATATCATCTGCTGGCAGAGTATAAATCACGAGAACATTAAAATAGAAGGAAAAGCTCACCAGTCGCAATGCAAGCGTCAGGCACCCCACATATTGACACTTCAGGTGAAGGACAAAGAATGTTCTTGTACAACAGGGTAAGTCAATATATGGTTTAAATTTAAGTTAATGTTGAGTTATGTTCCCTCCTTGGGGCAGACAAAGGGAGAGCAGCTAGCACACAAAGCTAGCGTTAGCTAACGCTAGTTAGCATATTAACTTGGAACAAACGTAGGTGTTTTTATTGATCTTTGCTGGATTCAGCTGTTCGTGTGGTCTTCCACACTGTTTTAGCCATATCTTCCTTGGGTCTTGGGCTTGAGGAAGGGGAAAAATTCAACACCACCTTCGCCACTTTTTGGGTATCAGGTGTCGGACTTGAAGGTAACGTTACCATATGCACGCCGCTTCGGCATATTAGCTTCTGCTGAAAGCTTGAAGGACCTCTCGGTTGCTACACACGGTTGCTAACGTAGGATTGGACAGCGACTGATTAAGGGAGAGGCTTAGCGAAGGGTCAATTAGAAGCCTGGTCTGGTTGCCAAGTAGTTCATTTTTATAGAAGTTCTTTGGATGTATAAATCTGGGTTGTGAGCGACCCACTTGAGCTGACGTTAGTAAACTGCTTAGATTGGGCATACAGATATAAATGTCGGCAGTAATTCGTTCAGATTTACCGGCATGATGAAAGAACTAGTGGTGGGGGAAAAAATCAATACTAGAAATGCAGCTTTTTCAGTTCCGATACCGATCCCGATGCTGTGGCTTTGAGTATCAGTCGATACCCGATACCGATCCGATGCCATGGTTGACTTAAAAAGTTATATACCTTTACATGTAGAACACAAAAGACTAGAGGCATCAGGCATTGATGACTACACAGTTCTTTCCTAAGATAAAATGAAACAAGATGAAACAGATTTCTCTCCTTCGCTCCATGATGTATGATGTAGCTTGCATCGCAATAGCTTTAAAGGGAAAGGATCGCCTTAGGTATAGGTTGCATGTTCTGATACCTGATCCATCTATTTTGATGATATTGGGGCCGATATTCGATCCAGATATCGGATTGGAGCATCCCTAATCAATACAATGAAGTATCGCAATATTTTTGTGTGGCAGTATCGTATAGTCACACAGTGTCAAGTATCGATTTTGTTATTACATAAATGATTAACATTATGAATACAAGTTAAACTTTAGGCTATTTGAATAATATAATCAGTTGCTTTTTCAGTCCACTAGTGAGACTGAAGTGAGATAAACCGACTGAAAACTTTATCTTGCTGGATAAAACAGATGTTGACAAAGTTTTCCTGTTTACTTCTCATTTAGATAGATATAACACATTATTCCTTGACATTCTCAATAAAACTGTTAACACACGACACAGATCTGACACACAGAGCAGCAAATATAGAACATGCAGCAGCCGAAATCAGTTCACTTTTGGGCCGTTTTTTGACTTCATTAACAGTAAACAATGAGCGATGCACGAAAGAGGAAGTCTTGGCCCAAATATCCACTGGCTACACCAGATCTCCTGAAATATTGGCCGTTGCCTCCAGAACCTTTATCGTCATCAGATTGATGCTTTGGTCAATAAAGTTTTATTCAAGTGCTGATTGGTTTCTACCTTCTGTGTCCCTTTGCAGCAGTCGCACCAAGAACATGATGTGGTACGGAGTGCTGGGGACCAAAGAGCTGGTCCAGAAGACGTACAAGAACCTGGAGCAGAGAGTTCAGCTGGAGGTCAGACACACAGTGATGTCTCTACTGAATGAGAATGAGGAATATTTTGGGAAACAAAACAACATCAGCTTTTTTTCCCCCTCTGTTTCTCTCTTTAGTGTGACGGTGTTCCCATGTCTCTGCCGAGTCTGCAGGGCTTGGCTGTGCTCAACATCCCCAGCTATGCAGGCGGTATCAACTTCTGGGGAGGAACAAAGGAGGATAATGTGAGTGTTACTGAAGAGGGAGCATCCTGTGCGTCTACAACTCCAAAGAAAGTGTTCAGAAGCTGAATGCAGATTTCATAGTTACAGTATGTTGTTCGCTCTTGTCTCATATATTCAGAACTTCGGCGCTCCGTCGTTTGATGATAAGAAGTTGGAGGTGGTTGCAGTGTTCGGCAGCATGCAGATGGCCATGTCCAGAGTCATCAACCTGCAGCACCACCGCATCGCACAGGTAACACACACACACACACACACACACACACACACACATCCCTGCATATAACGGACACACCTGTATTATCACAGCTACGGTCCAAACATCCATTTCAGTGAAATTATGAGGCACTTCTCCGTCTCCTTGGTCAATACTTTGGTTTATGATATGGTTACCAGACGTCTCGGGTTGTCCGGGATTGTCACAGTTTCAAGCTGGGTGCCTTTAGTCCCAACAAATATCTATAAAACGCTAAAATATAATGATGATAATGAAAAATGTGCTTGTTTTCTGTGCTTACAATACAAAGGTGTCTATCATGTTCTGTCCCGCCCATTATAAAAACATAAACGTGCAACATGCATCTAAATTAGACACTGATTTGTCTTTATATGTGTCAGTCAGTCCATGTGTCATTGTCAAGGAGATTACTGTGATGCTTGCAACTCTCTCTCTCACAGAACCTGTCAGTATGCTAACAGTTTGCTGTTATACCGACGATAGCGTCTTTTCCTAAGAGATCCAGGAGGCTTACTTTTCCTTAATGAAGTATTGGCAACAAAAATGCTGAGTTCTACACACAACAACAAGAGTACTTTTTCAGTCCTGAGTGGTGGAAATGAAAGGTCCTATTGAGATGGCCAAACATAGGTGGTGGCTACAAGCAGGATGTAGCACTGTTGCAACCAACTTCAGTGGGGCAAACGCCACTGACAGCCATCTGAAACAGGCAACTCAGGACTTTGCCTATCTGGTAAAACACAGCCACAGCTTTCTGTCCATGGACGGTTCATCTGGTTTTGTGTGTCATGGTGTTATTGTACAGTTTTCAAATGTTTTCGTGGATTTTGGAAGACAAAACGTAGCCTTTTTTTTTTTCTTCTGCCGAGTCACTATCCATCGTGATAAAAGGTGCACTCATTAGGTCTGCTAAATATAAAATATTTATCCCCCCATCCTGATCCCATCCTTATTTATAAAGTTTTTTTCAAAACAAAGCTACAAAGCTGCTTTACATGGTTGATCCCGGATTTTTAAAAAAAAATGCAGGATTCAAGCAAACAAAATGAGGCAATTTTAAGAAAATACAAATAACAAGAAAAATAAAGATAAAATACCATCACTGAAGCAGACAAGCAAAGTTGGCAACTAATTGCCCTGTAAATTGCACAGAGGTACGGCAAATCAAACAATTAGAGTAATACGAAATAAAAGAATACAATAACTGATGACAACACAAGATATAAACAATAAAAACAGTCAAATGAGACATATATAAAATAAGCAGTGAGTTCCAGAGCTGAGGGGTCTTGACCACAAAAGCCTGGTCACCTTTAGTTTTTGAGCTTGGACTGAGGAACAGCCAACAGAGCTCTGCCTGAGGACCTGAGGCTGCGACCTGGCTCATAGAGGAGAAGCATTTCAGGCATGTAGCTTGGGGCTAAGTCATGAAGTGCTCTAAAAGTTATCGGTAAAATCTTAAAATCGATTCTGAAACTGACTGGTAACCAGTGAAGAGAGGCTAAAACAGGGTTGACATGGTCATGTTTTCTAGTGTTGGTTAAAAGCTGAGCAGCTGCACTACCTTTTGCCCTAGCTGAAGGTGTGAAACTACTTTTTGGCTCAACACTGAACACAATGAATTGCAGTAGTCTAACCTTGAAGACCTTCTCAAGATCATGCAGAGAGAGAAAGGACCTCTTTTGTAGATGCTTCTTAATTGATAGAAAGAGGACAATGCTTGTAATTTAAGCACGTACATGTGCATATGTACATTTAGGGGTCTCAGTTTAGGGGGGTTTAAACTAGTGTCACCCTAGTTTATGACGAAATACCTCCTAAGATTATGACATTCCCATCAGCGTCTATACTTTGTGTTTAGTGCTAATCAGCAAATGTTAGCGTGCTAAACTAAGATGGTGAACATGCTGAACATCACACATTATCTGAAGTGATTTCAAATAACTACAACATTGAATTAAAGCACTTTAGTTCTTTGAACAAAAAATAAACCCTTAGTAAGATGTTCAAGGGTTAGCAGCTGTCTCGCAAAAGAATATATTTACATGTTCTAATGTTTATTTTAATCTCCTAAAACTGAAGTGAATGAGAAACACTCCCTTCCCTTTCAGTCACAAGGACAAAGTCTTTTATAGGTGTCTCTGGTCCAACTGGCATTTCAGCACAGACAGTACAGATCCTCCTCGTAATAAAACTTTGAAAGGTGCAGGTTTTACAGGATCACATGAAATGCTCAGTGTCCAACAGCAGAGGACAAAGGAGGTGAAGCAGGGAATAGCTGGTAAAAAAAAGAACAAGAGGTCTCATCTGACAGCTGCTGTTTTCTGCTCTGTTGCGTCTCAGTGCCGCCAGGTGAAGATCACCATCCTCGGGGAGGAGGGGGTCCCTGTGCAGGTGGATGGAGAGGCCTGGATCCAGCCGCCTGGCATCGTCAAGATCGTCCACAAGAACCGAGCGCAGATGCTCACCAGAGACAGGGTAATGTCCGATGTGTCATAAAGTTTTACATGTGATTTTTTACAGCACCGAGTTTGATTTCTACAGTGTAAAATATGTGTGTACGACTGAATTTCCATGTGCATATGTAAATATCTACCACATGCATACGGACAACAACAGTATTGGCCTGAATTCCTTCCATAAATATTGCAGCCGAAAATCCACTCTGAGCTCTGCAGCCTCAGCTCCCTGCCCGTGTTGTCGACTCCCTCTATTTCGGGATTTCTTAAATCAAATTCATACCCACTGTGTTTGTTCTCTCTTCACGCTGCTCAAACCTTTTGAGAGCTCTCTTGAGCCAAGCACATTTGGGCAGTTTGTTTCCATGGTTTCCCTCCTTAAGCACCGCAGAGAGAGGAGATTGTTGGCTTGCTGGTTTTATCCTCCTAAATGTGGCTTTTATTCAGTCAGATGGTGACGGTAATGTTTCAGGTGAGCGCCGACACGGCTGGATGCCTGGTTGAGGCATGTTTATCGACAAGTTGTTAAAATAAATTTGTATCTGGATGCGATAAAACACTTCTTTCTGCCTCAGTTACCTCAGCTTTACAGTTAAAAAGATAGTTTTGTCTCTCAGACATGATAAAATACACCTCCCTGTCTTCATTCTGATTGTCACCTTGAGTATTTAGTTCACGTCTACCAACTACACGATACCCAAAGAACCACCTTTAATCAGGTGCCAAATGCCCTTTGAATTCGACAGCATTTTCATTTTCACAGTGCCAGTTTTTGAAAATTGCTTGGCCGCAGCACAAGTTTGCACAATGTGCTTGTCTCAGTGTTGAAGAGGAACAAACACACAAGTGATGAAAGTCGATAAATGACTCGTTTTTTGTGCCACCAGGCGTTTGAGAGCACGCTGAAGTCATGGGAGGACAAGATGAAAATTGACAGCTACCGCGCCAGCAGACCCCGCCTTAACTCCCAGCAGTCCATGGAGTACCTGACGGAGGAGGAGTGCGCTCAGGTTCAGCAGCTGGGCATCGTGGCCGACACACTGATCAACAAGTAAGAGACACTTCACAAGGAAACAGGATAAAGTCTTGCTTAAATACATCTTGGCTGGGAAAAGAAGACACATACCTGCGCTAACTTAACTCTCTGTAGACTATTAAAACTATTAAAAATGGGAGCAGATCAGAAAGTCTTGCTAAAACATGTCAAAATATTCTCATAACAAAGGGAAAATTTGGTATAAAGAAATGAGTCAGACAAAAGAAAGACAAAGGATTATTTAATTCTGCTTCCTGTTTGCTTTTATGTCTCTGGTCTGTCTGGTCTATAGCCACGGCCAGAAGCATTATGTTTTCAGGTCGTCCGTCCATCCACCCGTCCATCCCATTCTCGTAAAAGTGATATCTCAAGAACACCTAAGAAAATTTCTTCAAATTTGGCACAAATGTCCACTTGGACTCACCAATGAACTGATTAGATTTGGTGATCAGATGAAGGGTGGCTGTGGCTCAAGAGGTAGAGTGGGTCATCCACTAATCAGAAGATCAGCGGCTCCTCCAGCCCGCATGTTGAAGTATCCTTGAGCAAGATACTGAACCCCAAATTGCTCCCAGTGGCTGTTTATTGGTGTGTGAGTGTGTTAAACGAAGTAGCAGGTGGCACCTTGTATGGCAGCCTCAGCCACCAGTGTGTGAATGTGTGTGAATGGGTGAATGGGACTCATAGTGTAAAAAGAGCTTAGAGTGCTCGGAAGACTAGAAAGGCGCTATACGTATATAAGTGCAGATCCATTTATCATTTACCATGTCAACCCGATGTGGCCTTGCAACCATCTCAAAGAGGCCACAAGGGAGTTTTCTCAAATTTGGCACAAACGCCCACTGAAGGAACTGTCAGAAATAAGTGGTAGAATGTCAAAGGTCACTGTGACCTTGCGTCTGTCTCAATCTTGTGACCCCAGTATCTCAAAGAGGCCACAAGGGAGTTTTCTCAAATTTGGCACAAACTCCTACTTAAGGAACTGTCAGAAATTGGTGGTGGAATGTCAAAGGTCACTGTGACCTTGTGTCCATCTCAATCTTGTGACCGCAGTATCTCAAAGAGGCCACAAGGGAGTTTTCTCAAATTCGGCACAAACGTTCACTTGGACTCAGTGATGAACTGATTAGAATTTGGTGGTAGTATATAAAGGTCAGTGTGACCTCACAAAACACATTTTTGGCGGTAACTCAAGGAATCATATGCTAATAATGACAAAAATTCACACAAATGTCAAATAGAATAAAACAATTAAATTATGACATTTTTTATCCAAAAATCTCCCCAAGTAAACATAATAAAGTCCTTTTACAGTTTACAGTGTACAGTGTGCGTAAAAGCAACCTGTTTGCTGATCAACATCCATGTGTGTTTCTGTGTTAAAAAGATAAAGGGGTCAAGGGGGAATTTTACTCTACATTTTGGGATTCGTTTATCCCACTGCAATTAGCGAGCTTATTTGCTACATTTTTCTCCATTGCACTGATGAGCAATTTTATTCCTCTTTTTCGCACGTATGAACCATTTGCGTCCCTCTGAGGTTTTCTCAGCATGTCTCAGCTCATGTGGTTTATTATGATCTTCTTACTCGTGTTTGCAAAACTAAACTCCCCTTTCAGGATGAAAAATATTTTAATTACATTTGTAGCCTCACGTCAAAAGCTGAGAAACGGTCATACTGGGGATTTCTGAGAGATTTGATTTGGGTGAATTGAGAGCATAATAAAAGGTGTGCACTTTTCGCCATTACTGGCAACATGAGAAGAATTATATCAGTGTAAAGTTTCTATTAAACAACCAGAGCAATTTGAGAGTCAGAGTGGAGATGTTTGGACCTACATACAATAACTTCTTTCTCAGTGGATCCCAACAGGGAGGGGGGTGCAAAATATACCTGAGGCATTTAAGATGATTTACTACCTTTTTATAAAGTCCTGAACTCACCTGCGTGCTGTGCCTAGGAATGTTCCAGATATAGCAAAATAAGAAGAAAATAAGAAAATCCAGGCAGAGGACAGAGACTCTGCAGATAAATACTACTGGGTCATAAGTGATAGCTGAGTCTGTACATTCTTTTCTTATGGAAGATCCTGCATCGTCTACCTGTAATTGTACTGAAGTTTTGTGATTTACTCGTCAAAATCATGGCCGGGTTTTAAAATCCAAACATCTACAGTCTGAACTCAAAGGTTGGAGAGTCAATTCAGTTTTATTTATACACCCAGTAATCACAAATTTGCCTCATGGGCTTTGAAATCTGCACCACACAGGACACCCTCTGTCCTCAGACTCTCCATTTAAAAGAGAAACTTTAACAAGGAAAAAAAAATTGGAGAGACGCAGAAAGAAACTGGGCTTTTGTCCCATCAACAGACTGAGACAACTTGTTGGAGTAATCACCATAATTGTGCCTTTTCAGCTTGTCGAAATAATAATTACAGCTCTTTCAAGTCCATGATTTTCCTCCCTCGTCCTTCCCATAGGATCCGTGAGGCAGCCAAGACCCACAAGCTGGTGGAGCAAGAGCTGGCTCACGCCGTCAACGCCACCGCCCTGGTGCTCACAGAGGCCAAACTGTCCAGCCCCGAGGTAAGACACTGGGCGGAAGGAAAGGGTGACAGATGGCGGATTTGACTGGGTAAAGCGTGCAGATTTTCAGCAATACGCTTGGGTCTCATGTCAGTTTACAGACTGTTAATTTTGCAGCCTGTTAAAACTGGAATGCGTCAGTGACGTCACTTCAAGGACACAGCAGGCGCTCCCCTTCCATATTGTGACGGACGCAAAGTGTTAAAAAGAGACATGATGAAATAATTATAATAACAAAAAACACCAGGGCAGATTCACTTGTGTGATCGGCTTCTGCTTTGGTCTGAATAAGCAAACCAACTGTCAACACCGACTCAGACAAAGACTCAGTGATGAGAAGTGACATTATGAAATCATCACTGACAAGAGGCATTGTGACATTAAAGGCGGACTTTGGAAAAGGATGTTTGAAAAGAAAAACTGCTGGAATTAAATAAAAATGACAGTTTTTTTGTGAAAATTTGTGATGCAGATAAAACACCATGAGCTGAATTAAAAAAAAAAAAGGATTATTGTACAGTTTTATGGTAATATAGTTTTCATGTATTTATTCATATAATTATCCATTTTATAACAACTTACTCATTTATTATCAAGCTCTTGACTAATCTTCAAACATACTTTTTTGGAAATGTATTTAATAGATATATGTCCTTATTGTTTTAACTGTTCAGAAACAGTCTTGAATTGCAGGTTGCACGTGTTTTTGTTTTTTTTAACTACATCTGAAAGTTGTGAGGAGTTTCCTGTTGTAATAAAATCAAGCATCAAATGTCAAAGTGCAAATATTAAACACTTAAATGGGAGTAGACTATATTTATTATAAAATTATAAAAAATATATATATTATTAATAAGAAGAAATATAAAGTAAATAATGATTAATTAATATTATTACAAATGAATGTATTATAAAATATTATTTAAAAATACTTGAATAAGTGGACACATACAGTATAATCTGTATTTTTATCATAAGGCCATATATTGCACATTTTATTATTGGACATTTTTGACTTAAAGGAAAACTTCACCCCCCAAATGACCAATTGTATATCAGTTATCAGTTGCTTACCGTTGAATTTGTGACTTTTTTTTTTTTTTTTTTGCATGCCTTCATGGTAAACGAAGAATCCAAAAAAAAAATGAAGAAACAAAACTTTAATTGAATTTAAGTTGTAGGGGAGTGGGTTTAACAACAGCAAAACAATATCAAAGCATCCATTTACAAACTCTCACACAAGTTGTGCAGTTTAATCCAAGTCTCATTTATCCAACTGTATGGCCAGTACTCAGTGCCGGCCTGTACCATAGGCAGTATAGGCGAATGCTAAGGGCGCTGTCATCCAGAGTGGGCGCCACAAATGGAGGAAGGAAATTTTTTTTTTTTTTTTTTTACTGATACTATTATTTTGAAATATTAATTATAGGCCACAACAACATAACTACAGCCTACTGAATAATAGAGGGGCCTTTTTTTCTGGTCCCTGCCCCCCCCCTTCCCAGCTCGTTACACTTTTCGTGCTCTCTGGAGGAGATTGGAGAGTTATCCAACGTCACGTGAACCCTGAAATACGCTGTATCTTTGTCATGTCAAAACCACAAAAGCTCTCTGGTGCCCACTCAACTACCACTACACTAGTGAGAGGAGTGGATGTGGAGAGAAAGAACATGAAATCAGCAGGAGGAGAGCTTGTTATCGTTACCTCTGAGGTGAATCATAACGTTCTCATGGTGTGTTCAATGTAATCGTGTAAAATGGAGCTTAGGCTCGCCTAGGGCACCAAATGTCCTAGGGCCGACACTGCCAGTACTTCCCAAACACATGCGTTTTAAGTAAAACCATTATATTAGCAAGAATGCATGTGTTTGGTAGGTACGGCACATACGACTGGATAAATGAGACTTGGGTTATACTGCTTGAGTTGTGTGAGAGTTTGTAAAGGGATGTTTTGATATAGTTTTGCTGTTGTTAAGTGCGACACCCTTTTACTCCAGTCCATCGAGAGCATTCTCAGTTTTTGGATTCTTCGTTCAACGTGGAGACATTCAAGAAAGGCATTGTCCTCCTGAATTCAATGTAACATGGTGTGAGTTTGACAAAGAAATGATCATTTGGGGTTGACGTATTCCCCTAATGATTAAAAATTAAGTGATAAAATTTGTATTTTCAGTGTCTGAGTCGCAGCACGGCGGTGGAAATCGTCAACAGCAGTAAAGTCCTCCAGGCTGAGACCAAGATGCTGCTCGATGGAAAACTACTGGTACAACTCTTCAGTTTCATCCTTGTCTTCCCTCTGTTCTTGTCTTTGTTTGCGTCGCTTGTTCTCTTCCTCTCTCACTGTCTGTCTCTGCTGAAGCCATTCAAGCCTTGACATCTCACATTTCAGTTTCTGCTCTTTGCGTTTGCTATTGCCTTATTTACCCTGTTAGGAAATTTACCTTTATTGACAATGGCCCTTTGTGCAGAAGAGCAAATCTAATGACAACACTACGACAAACCGCATGACATACTTTAATTTGTATCCTATTTCATGTCCCATCTCTTGTTGTCTCCTCTCTGCTTTGCTTTTTATCCTCATCAGCTTTGTTTACAACCCTTCTCACACTGAACAGATTGGGCTAAACTTTCACTAATTTTATCTCGTGTAATTCTGTGATGTTGAATGATGAACTTCAGGTGATGATTTTTCTTCTCTAAACTTACTTGCGATGGGAGAGATAAGATTGAATGAAACTGATGCCTCGATGCAGACGAATAAAGCAGCAAACAGGATTATTAGCATGATATGCAAATTAGGTTTAGTTTGAAAGAATTTGCAGTACGCCCCAACTGTTGGCAGATTCACAGGTTAACAGATGTTTACTGTCGACAAATCTGTGAATTTGCATAATATATGCAGGGTGTCAAAACATACATCATCTTCAGACGGTAGGAGAACAGAGCAGATGTTGGCATTTTGCATTTTTTAGATTTACAGACAGTTTTCAAACAACGCCTTCAGGCAAGCTATTGTACATTTGAATCCATCCCCGTGATCAAATATCACATTAGAACTAGGAAGTAGCAGTTTAGAAATAAACTCTTGATGCATTTTATTGTCTCCGCTTTCCCCGCAGTCGGAGTGTCATGAGGAAGAGGAGCTTCGGTCGACCCTGAACAGCCTCAGTGCTGAGCTCCACAAGCTGGACGACATCCACTGGATCTGTCCGCTCATGCAGTGCTCCGAGGAGGTGAGGAGGGACGCAGTCTGTGAGAAAGTCCATCTCATAATCACAGTGTGTCTAACAACCAAACGCAGTGTCATCGCTGTTGCTCATTTCTAACTAGTCGCAGTCCATCTGCCCCTTCCAACAAACAAAATGAAGAATGTCTCTTGGTGCCTTTTCTCGTGCCCAACAATGTGCGCTTCTTTTCTTTTAGGACTCAGTGAGGGGCAGCAGTAAGAGCAGCGGCAGCAGTATGAAGTTGAAGATCATACCCAAGGTGAAGAAGGAGAGGGAGAAGCTCCACAAGCAGAAGTCCAACAGCTCTCTCTCGGGTAAGAGATCGGCACAGAGCCCTGATTCAAAGTAGGGATGCCCCAGTCGTGATTTTTTTCGCCACTGATACCAACTGACAATCATCTATGAGCCACATTGGACAATGAATGGACAATACAAATCGTTTCCTGTTGTGTTAAAGCAGCTGGTATGGCTATATTATAGGTCAGTTTGACTGCTTTGTAGTGCGCTAGAATCTCCACCAGGTGGCAGTGTAAACTAGGTGAGGCTCTGTGAATGTACAGTCCTAAGAAATGTTAGTGTTGTTGGTTTCTTAGGCCCTGATCACACTGAAAGCGTTTTGCAGGTTGGAAAACACGAGGCACACCACACTACCCTTTTTTTTTAATTGAATACCACCAGTAAAAAAAAAACAAAAAAAAACTTGCTGCGCCTTTTTATTGTTGCCAGGCAACCACCCTATCACGTCCTAACCCCAACCTTCCCATGTTGTCAATTCACTGTTTTTTTTTTTCCAGAGTAATTAGTATCTAGTTCCTGAAATGCTCAGGCAGAGGGTACTTGCTGTAGCTTTGGTTGAGGGTAAACAGGGAAACAGAGATCTGTGTGGGTACATGAGACCCTAATAAAGAGGGTGGGTGATGGGGAGTACCACCAGTTGGTCCAGGAGCTTCGCATCTATGATGGCTGATTCCAGGCATATTTTAGGATGACTCGGGGGCAGTTTGACAACCTGCTGTCTATCGTCGGGCCGTATAGCTCTGGGTATCCAGCAACCACTACCACCAGTTTCTCCTCCATTGTTTACCAACTGTAAACTTGTTGTCGTGACCACCACAGAAGGCCCGCATCTCAAAACATCTGTTTTGGCAATGGGAAAAGAGATCACGTAAAAAGAGATGACGTGGGACACTTTTCCACCCTGAGTTGAAGTCTTTTCAGCTCAAGAATTTCAGAGGGCTCCAGCAAAAATGCCAGGCGCCAAGGGCAAAGAAACACGAGGTGCGTCACAATGCAAAAACAGCAAGCAAAAAGCTTCATTCTCGTAAAAAACAATTACAAAAAGCTGCCTCCAACTGCTAAAAAGCTTTCTGTGTGTTCGGGGCCTAAGTCGGTTCAATCAACAGAGCAGTACAAAGACCATCCACAGGACAATGAGAGAAGTATCCACCAATAAGTCTAGAAGAACAACTAAAATACACAGTACAACCTCACTCCATCTCTTCTTTCTCGGTGCGCAGGCAGTCAGTGTGTGGACGTGGGGCATGTGGCACAGGCAGAAGGACGGCGCTTGCTGCAGGAGTGTAAGTTCAGTTGTAGTGAGGTATTAGCGTACCTATGGAGTACCTAGAAACGTAATCAAACACAAGTAGGAAAGCTGAGTAGTCACAGGTTCGGTAGTCACTGATAACACCCCCAACCCCCAACTCCCCCGCAGCTATTGGCAACTAGAAAACACTAATACCAATCTCCAAAACTCATCAGCCGGTAATTCAAAGCTCCAGTTCCACAACATCAGATATGCAGTCATTCCAGTTTCCAAATTATCTTAGTCCCCTTTGTCTAGGAAGAAACTACAGTTCATCGTAGGGATGACCCTAACAGACTGGCTAGATTGGGATTGGGTCTGATCCACATATTTGTCGACAGACTGGTAACCACTATACAGATCACAGTTCATTTCTGACTTTTCTGGTTGCCCTCGGTGTGCTAGGTGTCAAAAACTCCTCATTGTATTTTGTAATCATGCCTCAGAGTCACGGTAAAGCACATTGAGCTCCCTGTGTCGAGATCAAGAAACTACGGTACAGTTTAGGATGTTCTAAGTCAATCTGTGGGACCAGGATCAAAGAGATCAAGGTATTTGCCGATGGACTGGTAACAGCGATATGGAGCTTGGTCCTTTGTCAGTACGTTTTGTGTTCGCTGTGGTTATGCCAGCCATTTCAAGAACTCCTTGTTCTTTTTGTCTAGAAAGAGGAACTATAGTTCAGTTCCTGATCTAATTTGTTGGGTTGGGGATTAGAGCCGATCCAGGCATTCTTGATTGAGATTTTCCTATACGGAGCCTGTTACGTTTTCCGAACTTTTGCTTTTTTGCTTCTGGTACAACAGCTCTTGAAAACTCCTCGTTGTGTTGTGCAGTCCTGCCTCAGAGTTGCCTGTGCTGAGAGGATGTTCTGAGCTGATCTGCAGGATCAGAATTAGATCTGATCCAGGCACGCAGTGACGGATTGCCTCCAGCTACAGTACACAGAATAAGAATCAGAGATGGATTGAGTTCTGTTTGCTCTGTCAGCTGCCAAACCCTATCATTGTGTTTGACAGCTTAAACCGCATCTGCAGCATCTCTATCATCTCTATCATCTCTCTCATCTTTTTGAGTCCAGAGGTGCTCAATTTGTCATTTTCATTTCGTTTTTCTCTCTCCTGCAGGAAATTGGGATATCAAAGGCGGGGCTGGTGAGGCAGATTCCTCGGGCAATTGAAGTCCTGCGTGAGGTGCTTTACTGCTGCCCCCCTGCTACCCTGACAACCAGGGGTGAGGAGCACCCCTCCTGTCCTCCTCCCCTCTAACCGCGATACCCAGTGGCCTGTGAGAGGTGTGAGGAAGAAAAGGAAAACCATCTTCCCAACTTTTACGCTATTTCCTCCCTGCTTCTTTATCCTTCATTTTGCAGGGAGGGAGTTTTGTTTCTTCTTCTTCTTCTTCGTCTTTTACGTTCTTGAAGGGGCCTGGCTTTGCATCGCATTGCTTCACCATTGGCATTTTGCTTCTGGTCCTGTTTACGTGCTTGAGTTTGGAAGTTCGCCTTGACCAGCAGCGAGTCAAACAAAGGAGAAAGGGAGGCGTGGAACAAAAGCGTTCTCGCAGATTTTTTTTTTTTTTTTGACAAAGAAATGTGTTTACATGGTGCTCTCCTTGCATGTTGAGTGCAGCCATCTTATTTTATATCTATCATAAGTTGTTAGAATCTTAATTATTTTCTCTCTATCTTGAATAATTTCCGAACTTATGAACAGCCTTTAGACTTTGATTTTTCTCGCGACTGTCGAAGAATATTTATTTCTTGTTGCTACTGCCATGAGAACTCAAACGGCAACAAAATGAACAAACTGAAACATCTCAACCTTATCGTCTACTGAATCGGGGAATATCTTAAATGTTGCAAAAAATGTACTGAGGAATGTACTTGTGTGGACTTGTATTAACCTGTGAATAATGTTAAATGATAAATCATATAAGGTTTCACAAAGGTTCTACTGTTGTGGTTCTAAAGTGGTTCTTAATAGGTCTTTTTCTGACTTGTGTGAATTGAGACTTCGCTTTACGATGAGTCATTTCATCTGGAATTCAGCCTTTTGAGTAGATCTGACTGTGCGGTACATCACTCAGTTATTATCAAGGTCTAAAATGTGACTCATGCGGGATAAAAAAAACTCATCCCACTGGGTTGAAGAACCATTTTGAGGTACAGTACCAGATGAAATGACTCACAAGATTATTTCTTTTGGCAGTGTATGGTGAAGGTGTTTACAGATGGAGGAAGCATCAAGGACACATTAACAAAACATAACAGCTACTCAGTATATTACTTCTACTTTGCCATACTCCTGATTGTATTTGTAATATAGGAATAAGAGTCAGTGGATATTTGATTTTGCCTTGTCTGTGGTTAAAAGCTATTATTATTATTATTATCATTATTATCATTACAAATATATTATCTATTTTTTTGTATATCTTATTTTCCCAATAGTAATCTGTGAAGCTGTCCTGGCTTTGCTGCTTCCCCCTTTGACGAACTCCTCGGCCACTGTGCATATAATCAAAGCCAATTAATGCTGTTCTGTGTGTCCCTGCATGCATACTTAGCCTTCCTTCGCCTCACAGTGTTGGGCTGAAGTTGCCTCAAAATAGTAAGTTTTAGCTTGTCGGTTCCGACTAACAGCGTTTGTTTTTGTTTTAACCTGCTTGACGCACCAGATGGTCTTGAGTTTTACTTTGAATTAACACTTACTTTGCAAAAAATGTCTGTCCATACTTTGCTGTGTTGTCCAAACTTTAAGAGGGTGTATTGTTTTCCACCCACAGGGTTCTGCAAGCGGGTTATAACAAACACCAAGTTTTCATGTATCTAATTATTATTATTTGATCAAGTCACAGCCAAAGCGGGTATGTGAAGTTTGGGAACATGTGGCTTGCGGTTTAGAGATTGCTAAAGTATTGATGTTTACGAGTTTTAGAGGCAACTTCTACCCAGGTTTTACGGTAATGTTCTTGAAAAGAATGGTCAGTTATTTTGGGAAATTCACTTATTTTCTATGTTACCACAAGATGGACAAGAAGATTTATATTTGTTTATCTCTGTACAATCAGTAAAGAGATAGAAAAAGAAAACTCAGACGTGCTAGCTAGCTAGCTGAAAGAACTGGTCATTCTCTGTCAAAAGTGAAAAACGCCTTTTGGGAAGTCTGCCTATATATTGTATTACCGCAAGACAGACAAGGAGATTCAGATTTATTTATCTCTGTACACTCAGTAAAGACGTGCTAGCTAGCTAGCTAGCTGAAAGAATTGGTCATTCTCCGTCAAAAGTAAAATATGCCTTTTGGGAAATCTGCTTATTTTCTATGTTACCACAAGATAGACAAGAACATTCATATGTTTTTTCATCTCTTGACTCAACGAAGAGATAAAGAAAGCTCCCAGACATGTTTAGCTTAGGAAACAAAAATGTGAAAAGTGAAGGTGCTGCAAAATAGTCAAGAAGATTCATATATGTTTTTAATCTTTGTACAATCAGTTAAGAGATGGGGAAAGTTGTCAGATACACTTAGCTTAGCACACAAAAACCTGACAGAATTCGACTATCTCTGTTAAAAGTAAAAAATGTCTTTTTGGAAGTTTGCTTATTTGCTATGTTACGGCAAGATAGGCAAGAAGATTCATATTATTTTTAATCTCTATGCACTCAGTAAAGAGATAAAAACTATAAGCTTCCAGACGTGCTTAGCTTAGCAAACAAAAACCTGAAGGAATTGAACATTCTTCGTCAAAATAAGAACTTCCAAAATGTACATGTATCTTATTACCTAGCAAATAAGTTACCAAGATATCTCAGAGTCAGCGGGGGTCTTCTTGTGTTAAAGCCTTTTTGTGTTCATTTTCGAAGCTAGCAACTCCTAGCTACTCCTGTCCTAGCAACAGCTAGGCGATACTACTGTATGCAGTCAAGAAAGCTCCAATGTGTAAGCCAGTCGCTTGTTAAACAGCATGTTATTTTAGTAAAGGTGTTAAATGCGCACATGTATTAGATAAAACAACTGTGTCCATGTTGGCGCTTTGATAGCACTATGCTAGCTGGTTTCCCTGCTTTCAGCGCTTCGTCATAAGCTAGGCCAAACCATGGATGTATGAAGAGACCTGGATGCAGTGTTTGAGGCAGGGCCCAGGTCATTCCTATGAACATTGCTCAGGGCTGCATGGGGCCAAAAACATTTAACTGCCACGTATAAAATTTCTCAGATGATCGTCACTGCCTTCGCATCATTCTCCATCAGCCAAGCTGGCTACTTCCGGTTTAGCGCTATGCTAGCTTGAATAGAGATAAAATTATTTAATTGTGCAGCTCTTCTAGACTTTCCAAATATTAGCGAACCAAATGGATCAAATTATGACAGTAAAACGAGTCCTTTTTCAGGGTCTGTGACGCATGACACAGACATCTCTTTTACAATGTTACTCTATGGATAAAAATCTTAGGTGGCCAAGTGGCATCACATGAAGAACTCAGAAACTGTAATTGTTGGTTTTAGTCCAGGCCCCCAGGAAGCCAATTTTTGTAGTGACCAGACATTTGAATTGCATCCGTCCAGTGATACCCTGTGGCCCAAAAAGATTTTTTCCATAGATATCATGGTGAAATAGACGTCTATAATCTATTGATAACATTTTTTTGAGTGTCACAACCATCTCCAATGACTTGTTTTAGTATCAGAATTTGAGCCATTTGGTCCGATACCATTTTGAAAGTTTAGAGGAGCTGCACAGTTTATCACTTTATCCTCATTCTAGTTAGTGTTAGTGCTAAACAGGAAGTAGCTGGCTCGGCTGGCAGAAGTCAATGGTGCGCTTGCTCTATGGGGAGCAGTGCTGATCATCAAAGTAGTTTTATACATGGCAGTTGAATGTTTATGGCTTTATGCACCACTGGGCAACTTTCATAGGAATGAATTAGACCCCGCCTCCAACACGTATACAGTTCTCCTTATACATCCATGAGGCTAAGTCTTTACTGAATGGACAGAGATTGATTTTTCATAGTTTGTCCATGTATGGCAGCAACAATTTGAATTTCTTAAAATGTCTGAGTGTCGCTTTAAAGGTTTTAATTAACAAGATGTAATAAAGAAGTAATGTTCACTAGTCAGGATATAATATGAGTGAAATACCAGCTACAAATGTCCCATAGGCTGAATTAGCTGCATCATGTAAAGATACTTTGAAGAGCCACAGAAAAGTATTTATTTTAATGGTACACAACTTACCTTGATTTGCTGTGACGCAGCTCCACCACTTTCATAACTACTAAAATAAGGGACAAAATATCAACGTTAAGATCACATCTGATCAAGGTGAACATTTTTCATGCCTTGATCAAGGCTGTAAACTGGTAAAGGAGCATGTTTGTGCTTTTCACGTTAATGTAAAGGGTTAGACCTTTTTTTATTTTTCAGTTATTTACAGTTTTATCAAACTAACCCAAATTAACTCTTGATAGGGCAGAGTAACTGTGAGGCGTTGTAGATGTTCAGCTCTGGTAGGATTGTGCTACTGTATCCATAGTGTGCCAGCTATATGCTCTACACCTTAGAGGCTTTAGTGGTGTCGTGCCAAGTTTGTACTGAGTTCAGTGGGTTATGAGATATACGAGGTGTGTGTGCGTGAGTGCGTGCGTGAGCTTCAGACGCGGAAGTTGTTGTATGTCGTACATTTCAAAGTTTACTGTATCTTGCCTTGCACTTTACGAAGAAGCAAACTTAATGGGGAAAAAAGACATTTGTGTGCATGTGCGCGTGCGTGTTTAAGATTTTGAGTGTTTACGAGTGTTTTTTTTAAATTGATTTGAAGACGAAAAATCTTTTATTTATGATAGATGTATACGGACAAAAGTGTGTTGATAAAATGTAATATATCTAACCAAACATAAAAGAATGACAAATATAAAGATGTATACACCAATGTTTATTACATCAGTGGTTGTACGTTACACCCACAGCAGCTTGAGATCTCCCATCTAACGCCAATGTTACTACATGTGATTATGTGTCATTCCACTGCCACAGCAACGCCATTGAAATGTCTTTCCAATGTTACACCAATTGGTATTGAAACAGTATTCTAAAAATCCAATAGATATTAAGGTTATTCTACCTTTAAGCCAAAGTTGTTGGAGTTCTCTGGTGTTGTTACAGACTACTGATGAATTGTTTACACAAAATAGAGTTGTCATATTCAGCTTATGTTTCGCCGACATTTGGGCGAAGTCTTGTGTATAATTTTGAAATTATAACATCTACTGAGAGTCTACCTTCTGCTTTAATTAGCATTTTTTGTGCTGAAAACAAACAAACATGTCTACAGTTTGGGTAACACACATTTGTGGAAGCCAATTTAGGGATTAAAAAAAGTAATTGCCTGTGTTTAACGGTCTTTTAACCAAGGATTTCATAGTTTGTCTTTTAAAAGCATCTTTTTTTTTGGGTTGTTCTTTCTGCGACTGTCTTTTTTTTTCATACAGCAAAAATGTCATTTTCGACTGAAACTCTTCCGAGGAGTTACATGGAGCTGAGACACTGAAATGAACCCACAGATTTCAAACACCTCACCATGTTTGTGCAACAGTATTTCATAGACAACATTTGTGAACGCACCCCCCTGATCTGAACAGCCTATATATATTGATATATTGAGACTGTGTGCGCAATGCTGGAAGCCAGACTAGATGTTGCACGACCTTGTACGTTGCGAGGTGTTTTATTGTGTTTTTGTGTGCAGTGTGTAACAAAGACAAAGTCAGCGCAACCCTTTGGAGATTAAATGAATTATTGAAGTGTGAAGCTGGTGTCCGGTGCTGTTAATGTGTGTGATGTGTTGTTGCTTTAGCACATATTTAAAGGTCCAGTGTGTAGGATTTAGGGGGATACATTGGCAGAAATATAATATACACTGCTTAGAAAAATGAAGGAAACACTTCAATCACACATCAGATCATGAACAAATTAAGTTGAAAATCTCTACTGATGTACATTGTATAATTTGCTATGACATGGAGGTCTGTGAGACCCTCCAAGGATATGCCTCCCTAGACCATCACTGACCCACCGCCAAACTGGTCATGCTGGATGATGTTACAGGCAGCATAACGTTCACCACAGCGTCTCCAACTCTTCTGGCCTGTCACATGCTCAGTGTGAACCTGCTGTCATCTGTGAAGAGAATGGGGCGCCAGTGGCAGACCTGTCAATTCTGGTGTTCTCTGGTGAATGCCAGTCGAGCTGCACGGTGCTGGGCTGTGAGCACAGGTCCCACTAGAGGACGTCGGGCCCCTCATGCCACCCTCATGGAGTCTGTTTCTGACAGTTTGGTCAGAAACATGCACGCTGTAGCCTGCTGGAGGTCTGGCAGTGCTCCTCCTGTTCCTCCTCACACAAGGAGCAGATATCGGTCCTGCTGCTGGGGTGATACCCTTCTACGGCCCTGTCCAGCTCTACTCATGTAACAACCAGCCTCCTGGTATCTCCTCCATGCTCTTGAGACTGTGCTGGGAGACACAGCAAACATCCTTTTAACCGCATGTATGGATGTGTCATCCTGGAGGAGCTGGACTACCTGTGCAACCTGATTGGGCTGCAGGTACCACCTCATGCTACCAGTAGTGACAAGGACACAAAACTAGAGAAGAATCAGTCAGGAAGGATAAGGAGAGAGCATCTGTCTATGGCCACCACATGTAAAATCATTCCCTTTTTGGGGGTTGTCTTGCTTTTGCCTCTCCATTGCACCTGTTGTCACTTTGATTTGCACCAAAGCAGCTGAAACTGATTCACAATCACTTGTGCTTCATAAATTAACAGATTAAAATCCCTCAAATTTAACTTTTGACTTTGTATTACACTGTGACGATTCAGTGTTCCCTTAATTTTTCTGAGCAGTGTATAAGTAGTATGTTTCCTCTGATCTATGATGACCTGAAAATAAGAATTGTTGTGTTCTTCTTGTCATGTGACATCTGAATTCAAATTACAGTACTGATATAACTGAGTGAACTACAAGGCAGAAATAAATAATAATGAAAGACAAACAAAAGAAAAGAAAAAATACAAGTGGTAATTCAGGACTTAAGGTATAGAGAGAGTCATTAAGACATGGGGCCTTTCCATTTTTACAGCATTTATTTCTGTATAGAATGATCTCATTTAGGAATGCAGGAAATATTGAGCTTGTTTTTAAAAATGACATTTGTGAAAAAAATATTCTGCCAAAATATTTGCATTATTAATCCCAAACATTGCTTTGTTGGCACACTTTGTTGGTTACATTTTTATAATTAAGAATCATAATATTTTGATTGTTATAAGTCAATTAAACTGTATTGGGAAAAAAGTGTTTAAATCATTGACTGTATAAATAAAATATACAAATAAAATGAATGTATAATATAATAAAATATAAATGAATGAAATAAAATAAAATAAAATAAAATAAAATAAATAAATAAAATAAAAATTTGAGCTACATTGGGAGCGGTTCTTCGATTCTACAGTAGCCCAGAACGGACAAACCACACACCTGCTCCAAATAGAGTCATTAGCGGTTAAGTAGCCCAACTACAGTGACCAGCGGCGGTGTTACACTGGACTGTAACGTAAAATTCTTTTATTCGGTGTTTTCAGCGGTTTAAATCACCTGGAATGTTCCATTTGGAGAGAGAGAGACTTTCGCGGATAATTCGTCTTCAGGTAAAAACTTCCTGAACATCTGGTTTCTATGTAATCGGAGAATAAACGTGACTTCACATCAGCAGGTGTTGGACGAGCCACCCGCAGCGACATGCCAAACTGCATCGGAAATACACGGATTTATAAAGTGAAATTACGTTTTTCGGTCATTTACCAGACGAAATCAACATGTTTGTTAGTTTTAGAACAGAAGAGGCCTCTGTGGATAATTCGGCTCATGGTACAAACCACCTGAACGTCTGGAAATAAAAAGGTGAGCAGACATTTAATCTATGAGAGTAAAAGGGGGAGCACTCATGAGCATGTTGTGGGCGAGCCGCCTGTCTCCGAGGTGCTTTGGAGAAACACTGATTTGTAACGTGAAACTGCTTTATTCATAGTTTTAAGGGTTATAATCGCCTGGTCTGTTTGTTTATGAGAGGAAGAGACCTCTGTGGATAATTCGGCTCAAGTTTTAGCTGTTTGCAATCTATAATTCACCGCTAGATGCCACCAAAGCCCTCTAAATCCCACACACCTCACCTTTAATCCTGAAAGGTCACAGTACACTTCCGTTTGACTAAAGTACCCCCGGGACGCAAAGCACCTATTTGTAGGACGGAAATGTAACGTCAGCATGCCTTTGGTCATTCATGTTGGGCGAGTTTAATTTCTACTGTTGTTATTTCTGCTTCCTAATGCTAATGCCTGTTGCATGGTGTCTGTTTATCTTGCAGGTGTAAACACTTTACAATATTTTAAATGAACTAGGTGGCCCAACATGTCATCCATCCACGTCTCAAGGTAAAGTTGTTTCTTAATTAGGCTCTTCAATCTTCTGTAAAGAATTTTTTGGGGGGATATTTGTAGTCTTGATGTGATGTATGGTAGAACTGCACTCTTGGATACTTAACATACTGAGGCATTCAGGTGCTGCAGTGGTTGAACTATTCAGATCCTTAAGTAAAAGTACTAATATCACAGTGTGCATATACTCCACTACAAGTTAAAGTCCTACATTTAAAACCCTGCTTTTAAATTAAAGTAAAGCATGTATATTTTCTTAAAGGATCAAAAGCTGGGGCGTAAATATAGACAGTACAGAAAACACACATTAAACACACATTAAACATGGCTTAATAGAGTCAATTTCAAACACAAGTACACAAATCAGCTTCACTATAACTCGCAGCATTCACAGACAAACACTTGTCTTTATCTGGACACATTTTCCCCACAAATACAACATGCTAATGTTTTTAGCACAAGCCTATGGCATTTTCCATTGTATAAGTTAGCCTAGCAGCTAGCGGACTTTTCCTCTACTCATATGAAGCCAGGGACAACAGTAACATTTAACAAAGGTAACGTTACAAAATTCGGCTCCATTACAACTCACAAGGTTCACTGATAAAACAACTGTCTTATACTAAACACGTTTTCCAAATAAATGTAACATGCTAACGTTATTAGCACAAGCCTATGGCATTTTACATTGTATAAATTTCCTCTGCTCATATGAAGCCAGGATAAATCACACACAAGACTTAAAATACTATTTTTGTGGAGGCTTTATTGTCTTCACAATGCATTGTTTCTTATCTGTGAAATTAAAGTAAATAAAAGCTTTGTTTCCATTGAAGGAAATGTCAGCTTACAAAAATAGACAGGAGGTCTGTGTTGCCTAGACATGTAGTAATTTCTGGGGAGGTGCACGTCAGGCTATGGCGTAGGGTACGGCATCAATTCATTGCAGAAGTATAAATCCCGCTTGACTCAACTTGCCACCTCAGAAATACATCAGTGTTAAAAGAAGAACACACATTGAAATACAAATGCTGTTATTTGCTATATACACACTTTGAGAAGGTAAATCCACCTCCATCAGTATGTCTTTTTTTCGGTGGTGAAATAGAAGAAATTCAAAAATCCTTTTAATGTATGATTTCTTTATTTGGTATTTTAGTCATATACAGATTTGCAGTGATGATTGGTAATATGTATGTTGATGTTGTCCAACATCAAGTCTGTATTTGATCAGGTGTTGATACTATAAAATTTACGGTAGCTGTTTTGACGCAAAATCTGGCACAAGGACGTGTCATAATAGTGTAAACTAGAGCTCATCCTAACTACTGTACAAAAGTAAAAGCAGTCATTGTGCAGTAAAATGTTCCCTGTCAAGGTTTTTCTATAAAGCATGGTGTTTTTTTGGATAAATATTACTCATGGTTCCTATGGTCATGAAAAACCTCTTGGTCATGTTTTCCAGGCCTGGTGAAGTCATAGGATTAATAGAAATCATAGAAAGTTTTGGAAAAGTCTTGGAATTTTGATGTGTAATGAAACTGTTGCAGTAATCTTCCGTGGATGATCGTTCGCGTAATGTTACATAATGGCAAATTAATTTTTTGTAGCAGTTGACGTCAATGTAAAATACGTCAGTGTGTGACATTTTCTTTAACATCTCCTATGTTTCTACACTACATCTTGCTTTTGTGTTTCATCTCTGTCTTCATGTATGCCAGCTAGCTGATGATAGGTTTGAGCAGAGTTTGAATCCGATATGTTTGAAAAACGCAGGGCAAGTGTGGCAAGAAAAAAATGGTATGATATGGGTCCTTTAAAAGTCATGGAAAAGTTTTGACATTTTGTCCATGAAAATGTGTGGGAACCCTGATTACTGCTGCATTACTATGTTGCATTTACTGCCACTGTAGATGTTAAAGGTTAAAAAGGTGTAAGGGTCAAGAGTCAACTTTTCATGGCGTCAGCTCTGCCCTCAGTTTGTGACGATGCATTTTCTGATCCAAGACGGGTTTTTTAAGAGTTTGTTTAGCCTAAAAAATCAGAGAATTTACTCAACCTGTAAAGTAACACTTCATCCTTCAGTTTATCACAGGATATGAAAAATTGTAATCTGAAAAGTGGCCAGTAACTAAAGCTGTTAGGCAAATGTAGTGGAGTAAAATGTGTGGTAAAGTAGAAGAATGAAGTAGCAGAATATGGAATTTTGAAGTACTTGTACTTAACTTAAGTACAATACCTGAGTAAATGTATCTAGTTACATTCCAACCCTGTTTATCAGTTGTACAGAAAAAAATGAAGAACTCCTGTTG